TATCGCAATCGAAATATTATATGATAGCTCAAGTTCAGGTAAAAAACAGAATATAGATTTTCTCAGAATTTAGATGCAAAATTTCTATAGATCTACGCCATTCAAAACCCTAAAACAGTGGATTTATCTTACCGGCTCTTGTAAATAAGCTTTGCCATGATCTGGCAAGCTCTGTCACTATCTAGCAAGCTCTGCCATGATCTAACAAGCTCTGCCATGATTTGGCAAGCGCGGCCATGATTTGGCAAGCTCTGCCATGATTTGACAAGCTCTGCCATGATCTAGCAAGCTCTGCCATGATCTGACAAGTTCTGCCATGACCTGACAAGTTCTGCCATGATCTGGCAAGCTCTGTCACTATCTAGCAAGCTCTGCCATGATCTGGCAAAGTTTCTCAGCTTACAGCAAGGAAAATTTGATGGCTCAAGTTCAGATATGGTGACTAAAACACAGAATATAGGTTTTCTTTTAAAATTTTCCAAATTCGCTTAATTTCAGTATTTCTACGTCATCGAAACCCTAAATTTTGTGTTTTTTTGTGGTTTTATGGTTTCTCAGCGTCTTTCACTGAAAAAAAAAACTGAGATTTAACTACAGCAGACAATGATTAAATACTTCTTTATTCTATTTATTCTAAAATTTTCATTTAACCAATGACATCATTTTTCTTAGCTTCAATAACTTGAATCTATTAAGATCTGAGACCAATTGAGATTCATTTTGAGATCATTTTGAGATCTATTTGCTCCGATCCAAGCTCATATAGCTGAAGATTTTAGTTTCAAACCCATTTCTCATTTCCACATCTTCAAATACAAATTCCAATATTGAAAATCTTTTTTCCTAGACAAAAACCCATCAAGAAAGGCTGCTTCCGGCACACTTCTACAGCTCTCATCTCACTCATCATCCACTTGAACCGAGCTCATTTTGTCGCCATTTCAAGCCACCAATCCTTCCTTGTTTCATTCAAAGCTACCAGTTGATATTAGAAATTCTGACAACCTACGCAGTTCTGACAACCTCTTTAGTCTGTTTCTTTGCCTTTCAAAATCCGCCTCCAAAAATCTCCAAAAATGGAAATCCTTGTTTTGTCTAGGACTCTTATAAAGCTTTCTGTAGCATTCTTCCAAAACGGCTAGTCTTAGTTCTTCGTCCCAATTCCAAGTTCCAATCTCATTTTCTGATTTCTTTCTTCTTTCTTCTACAGCTGTCATCTCACTCATCATCCACTCAAACCGAGCTCATTTTGTCGCCATTTCAAGCCACTAATCCTTCCGTGTTTCAATCCAAGCTACCAGTTGATATTAGAAATTCTGACAACCTACGCAGTTCTGACAACCTCTTTAGTCTGTTTCTTTGTCGTTCAAAATCCGCCTCCAAAAATCTCTAAAAATGGAAATCCTTGTCTATGACTCTTCTAAAGCTTTCTATAGCATTCTTCCAAAAGTTCTTAGTCATAGTTCTTAGTCCCAATTCCAAGAGCTCATTTTCTGATTTCTTTAGGAGTTAGATATTTAATACTGATTCTAAAATAGCTTTAGAAATAGCATATTTCTATATTTCTAGCTTAGAAATAGCAAATTTCTCAGATAAGTCTTATAAAACAAGCAATTGAATTATCTTGAATGTTACCTAACTTCTCTGCTATTTTATCTTGACTTTTCCCAACTCTAGAATAAAAACTATAATTAAAGTAAAGAAAAAAGTGCATTTTGTAGCTCTAAATTCTTTTCGTCCGTACTCTTTCGTAGCTTTCTCTAGCTCTAATTGTAGCAATACTCCAATAGTCAAGCACTTTTTAGTCAGTCAGTCATGCACTTTTTAAGTTTGATCACTTTACCCAAAAATTTCAAAACACTAAATGTTTACCAAAGCTCACTCAAGCCAATAATCGAGATTTCCTAATTTCTTCCCCACTCATATTTGTTTACTGCTTATGTTTGAGAGTAGGTTCTTTGTTGAAAGCGCTTCATTGAACACGCATGTATGTCTATCCAAAAGGCTTTTTTGCGTTGCTTCAAATCCAAAATTCTCTACATCATGAAAAAATAACGTGAAATCCGCCGCTAGCCGCTTTTTGTTAGGATTAAAACGTTCCTAAAATATTTCTCTTTTTGATTTAGAGAACTATTCTCTTAAATTCTTTGAAATAAGATCCATTCAATTCCCTCAAAAAAGCCAAAATCTTTTCTTTTCCGCAAAAGTGAAACACTTAATTCAAAAAAATTCACTAAAGAAAGCGAACTACTAAAGAATTTCTCACGAATTTAGCACTTTTTGTAAGCTTATGAGTTTGGTTTTTAGTTTTTTCGTGAGCTTTTTCTTATTTACTTTATCTAGGGTATATAGAGACTGATTTTGCTCAAATCTACATCGATAAAAACCTAAAGTTTTTCTAAATTTTAGTTTCTTTTCACCTAAAATTCAACATAAAACACAAAATTTTCAAATTGTGTCAAATTCTTATAACTTTTCCCACTTCTTTTTAGAGCTTCTCAGGTTCTACAAGTACTTTACTGTGTGTCTAATGACTTCGGTAAGACAAATGTACGAGCGGGGTGGGATACTATTACAGTATTTACGGTAGCTTTTTCCAAAAAGCTCACTGCTCTACGCAATATTTCAATAGCCCAAAAATATTACTCCATCCTATCTATCGCTATTTCTCAAAAATCCTACTGGACTGCATTGTCGAATCGTCCGAAGAATACTACAAAACTCTGTGGATTGATCGATAAAAACTATCTTAAACTGAGCTCACTCATTTACTAAATACAAGCGAAAAGTCAGAAGTATGACATACCGTAAATACTGTAATAACCCCAGCCCCATAATGACGGTGCGGAGTGTTGCGTAGTCTAGCTTTGAACGAGTTTTTCTTGACACTGGTTTAGGCTACAATACGGGCTTAGTTATCAAAAAATAGCTGAGATTCAGGGCTATTTTTTGATACCAAAGATAATGACGGTGCGGAGTGTTGCGTAGTCTAGCTTTGAACGAGTTTTTCTTGACACTGGTTTATGCTACAATGGGGGCTTAGTTATCAAAAAATAGCTGAGATTCAGGGCTATTTTTTGATACCAAAGATAATGACGGTGCGGAGTGTTGCGTAGTCTAGCTTTGAACGAGTTTTTCTTGACACTGGTTTATGCTACAATGGGCGCTTTGGTATCAAAAAATAGCTGAGATTCAGGGCTATTTTTTGATACCAAAGACGCATTTGTTGAAAGTACGAGCGCTTTGAAAAAAATGAAATACTAAAAAACTTTTGTGACTACGCGACTGTACGAGGGGGGAACTATTACAGTATTTATGGTAGCTTTTTCCAACAAGCTCACTGCTCTACGCAATATTTCAATAGCCCAAAAATATTACTCCATCCTATCTATAGCTATTTCTCAAAAATCCCCGACAAATTCCTGTCGTATATCTCATCTTTTCGAGATGAGATTGGTTTTTTGAGTGATGAGACCACTTCTCATCATTCACTTGAAAGAAGATTTCTTCTTTTGGCCTCACCGACAACGACATCTCTCCAAATAAACCCCTTCAGATTCACGCCTACGATTCGAATTCAAAATTTCTCTGATATCATTTCTTTAGAGATTTCAAAAAGCAACTTGAGATTTTACTAGATTTAGAGGGTATATAAGGAAGGACTCGAAAAACATAGGCATCAGTTTAGTGCTACTTTTCTTACTTGAGCTAGACTTGAGCTCTTACTTGAGCTAGACTTGAGCTCTTACTTGAGCTAGACTTGAGCTCTTACTTGAGCTAGACTTGAGCTCTTACTTGAGCTAGACTGGAGCTCTTACTTGAGCTCTTACTTGAGCTAGAGCTCAAGTTTTCTTTTTCTTGATCTACTCGGCAAATTACAATGCAGATAATTGAAACGATTTCTTAAGCGGATTATGAAATCATTCATCTAATTGATGACAATTTTTCAATCTTTCCATCAATTCGAGCTTTTCAAGTAATAGATCACGCTCTACTTCCTCTTTTCACTATTTTTTTTTCTTTCTTTCTTCCTTCTTGAATTCTCAATGTTTTCCCAGCTCCATTTTCAACTTACTTTTGTTTTTTAGAACTTAAGTCCACTCATTCATCACTTTTCTACTCACTTTTAAGCTATCTAGATTGTTTTTTTTGTCTAGATTTTAAACCCTGATTTCAACTACAACCATTTCTTCATAGGTACCCTAAAGCAACGCCAAAAATGTTGACAAAGGCTCTCGTTTGGTTGTGCGCTCTTCTCATGATTGTCTCTTTGGTGTCCGCAGCACCGAATCGGATTCTCATGCGTTTCGGGAAAAGATCAGCCCCGATTACTGGATTCCCTTATGAGCCTGTCTATGTCTATTCGGCTGAGCCAAGGTGAGTCTGGAAATCAGTAACATAAGAATCTCAGAATTGTTAGCTAAAGATCTATTACAGTAATCCTATCAAGATTTAAAGCTTTGGCTCAGCTTTGGCTTTGGCTCAGCTTTAGCTCAGCTTTGGCTTTAGCTCAGCTTTGGCTTTAGCTCAGCTTTGGCTTTGGCTTAGCTTTGGCTTTAGCTCAGCTTTGGCTTTAGCTCAGCTTTGGCTTTGGCTCAGCTTTGGCTTTGGCTCAGGTTTGGCTTTAGCTCAGCTTTGGCTTTGGCTTTGACTAGTCTATTCGAGCTAAATTGTTAGCTAAAGATTCTTTAGTAACTGAGATCTAGAGCTTTGAAAAGTTCAAAGAGCTAAGTTAGTGTTAAATTAGTAGTTCGATGATAGCTTTCACTGTCAAAATTGTTGAATCATATCAACTCTACTCAAATATAAAACTCAAAAGAAATTTCCAGTGATGGACTCAACTATTAACTCATCAATTTGAAGAAAAGACTCTCGGAAGCTCGCCTACACACACCACCCAATCAATTTTTCATCTTACATTCATTTTTTGTCCTTTCTTTTGTCATAGTTTAGTTTTCACAAACGATTTTTGCTCTTTAATAAATGAATAACTGTTTTCACCAAACACCAACCTTTTTCACAACTGATTCAACAAGGTGATCGTTGACACCGACTTCAGAGCTAAGGTAGAGATGATCATCATCAGTTAGATAATATCTAGAATTCGAAATTTTGAAACTAGAGAATAGAATAGAGAATAAAATAGAGAATAAAATAGAGAATAAAAACAATTAGAAACCTTGCCGGTCGAAGTCCATTCCGATCCAAGATCGCTCCAATATATCGACCGTCCGAAAAAGCCAAAAGAGCTAAAATTTTGTTATTTAGAATAAAATTGAAAGATAAAAGAGTACTAAAAAGAATTTTAATTGCTTAATTTAAATAATTACGGTAGTTTTTAAATATTGGGTTGCCCAGTTATGAATGCGCGTTTTTTACTATTCTGTAAATTTCTCAAGATACCGAAATCAAGAAAAAGATATATATGAGTATCATTCGAAAGCTGAAGATCTCCTCTACATTTTGATATAAAAAGTTTTTGAATTTGTTCAGCTTTTGGGCAAATTGATGGCACAGAAGAAGAGGTGGCCAAAAAATGAACGGGGTCTCTTTGGATCAAGTTTTGGCTCCGCTCAAATTGAGTTAACCGTTTGATGTTTGGCCAATAGATATATCAATACAAGTTTTTTTTAAATATGACAATTTCAGAGCATCTTTACTTTTCTGGGCGGTTATTTTCCACTATAAAACTTGAGGAATAGCTAAGCTGGAATGGGTTTTTTTTCGAAAACGACCTCTCCCTTTGTGCAATCAATTTGCCCAAAAGCTGAACAAATTCCAAAAGCTTTTTATATCAAAATGTAGAGGAGATCTTCAGCTTTCGAATGATATATAACACTCATATGCATCTGTTCGATAACTAACCTGGCCCATCCCAAGGCTCCATTGACATCGCCGCCCATCGATAGTATTGCTTCTTCTCAAGGCTCATCTCCTGAAATTTATATATTACATATTTGAATTTGTAGAATCGACATCTTTTCATCATTTTTATTTACCTCATCCTTTTCCCAAGCTTCTGGAACCATCATCATTGCCGCTTCTGGCAATGAGCGTTGACCGGCTTTCACCAAAAACTCTAACACGTTATCGAAACATCCCGAATCAGTCAAACCAACTTCAACAATGGGAAAAAGCTAGAAAATTCTCTAGAATCTATAGAATATCTAGAATTTTATTAATACCTTTTCCAAATTGTCTCCATAGGCTTTACTTTTCATAATCCCCTCTCTAGCGTGCATCAGATTTATATTCCCGCGAAGAGTGTTGATCTCACCATTGTGAGCAACCATTCTAAAAATTTATCTAAAAATTAGAGCTCATTTTTAGCCACTTACCGATTTGGTTGAGCTCTATGCCAAGCTGGAAAAGTATTTGTTGAAAAGCGCGAGTGAACCAAAGCAATATGTGAGATGAAGCGATCGTCTGTTAAATCTCCGTAGTATTTGTACAATTGAGCCGGCGTGAATTGACCCTAGAAAGTTTGATTTTTCAAACTTTTCTATAGAAATACCTTGTAGACGATTGTCGTGGTTGAAAGCGAACAGAGATAGCATTCGACTTCTTGTTTATGCATCACTGAGTAGGCTCGTTTACGGAGTAAATAGATGTTTCTTTCGAAAAGCTCTCGATCAGTGGATGCATAGTCAGCAGTGATGAAAACCTGAAACAAGGATTGAGCTTAGATTTCGGAATGGTTTATTAGAGTTTGTTTTTAACATCTCTAAGATCACAACTTGCGTTCCCGAGATTAAAATCTGGCCCTAATTTATCTATGACCCTAATCTATCTATGACTCCGCTTAACGCCGCGCGCCTTATTGTCACCGTGGCGCGGTTAGGAATGAGCTGGACTGCAGCCCACACGATCCAAGTTCGACCCCGCGTCACTCAGCCTTGACTTTTTCAATTATTTTATTTTAAATAGTACAACTATTAGATTGGAAACTTGAAAGTTGGCACACTTATTTATTGCACTTTTTAGAAATAACTATTGCACCAATTAATCTGCAGTTTTCATCATTAAAAAGGTCTATTTATTCTCTAAAACAGGCTTTTGACAGACTTAGAAAAGCTTCGTTTTTGTAGGTTTCTAGGGGAAGTTGAGGAACCAAAAAATGATGAACATCTGATAAAACGATTTGAGCACTTTCTTCCACATAAACCTATTTTGATGTTAATAGAAAAAAGATAGAGCATGAAAAGTTAGGAATATTGCCGAATTTCTCAGCTCGATTTGTCTAATTCCTTTACTTATAAGTCTGTTTGAAGAATTTTCAGAAAAAAAACTTGAATTTCTGCTCAAATTCGTCTCAAAAGTTGCCCAAATTTGCTTAAGTTTGTTTTAAATTAAATAATATATAACTTTTATAATATATAATATATAACTATAGAAGTTTAACTCAATTGACGTATTAAATATGTTTTCTAGGAAATACGAAAAAGTGTACCAACTTTCAAGTTGCCAATCTAATACAATATATTCAAAGGTTTTTTTTAAAGGAGTTTTATTTTCTTTAGCTCAAAGACGGCTGAGAAAAAGACGGATAGACGGACGGACAGACAGACGGACAGATGAACAGACGGACGAACGGACAGACGGACGGACAGACAGACAGACAGACGGACGAACGGACAGACGGACGGACAGACAGACAGGCAGACGAACGGACTGACAGACGGACTGACTGACGGACGGACGGACTGACGGACGGACGGACAGACACTGCTCCTTTATATAGTAGATAACTAGCTACTCTTAACGCTAAACTTTCTTGAAGTTTGGATTGTAATTGATACTTTATCTTTTTTAAAGTCAATCATTTGAATTATTTACCTGTCTAATGAGCGGCTCGGTCTTTCTCGCCTCTTCTCCCACACAATCCCTATTTGTCGAGAGTTTCCGCCAAACGACCACTTTCAACTTACAGGCTCGAGCCAGATCACCAAGAGCTTCCTATGAATTGATAATGAGTTGAGTTCCGTAGAAAAATTTCGTAGTTTTTTCTATACCTTTGCCTGTTTATACGAGTCTTCATTCAAGAAAACGATTCCCGTCGCGTATTGCCCAAATGGTGGTAAATCAAGGTTTTCAGTTCTAAAATTCTTAATTATTTAATTTGTAAATCCTATTTTTTCAATCCCCAATTTAAAAAAATGATTTATTTTCTCATTTTCCCAAATTTTTTTGATAACATTTTGATCTGAAAACAATTTTCTAAGAGATCAAAAATTTGACCTTGAATCTTTTTTATCTTTTTCGCAAAATTAATGAACACTTTTTTCTAACATTGGCGGGTTAAAAGGTAGGGAAAATTTGGGAAGAATTTGGGAGAATTTTGAGCGGATGCTTATCAATCACTAGGAATAGAGAAAAATGGGAAATGGGTGGGTCAGAGTGCATTGAACACGTGGATTTCATATGAAACAAAATGTTTTCGAGAGATCGGAGTACGAAACTCGATTTTCATTGCATTTTTCGTGCAATCACGGGACGATAAACAAAACTTTCTTCATTTCAAAGTTGAATTGTTTCAGGTTATCCATGAAATTTGCAAATCTTGGCACTCAAACTCAATTGGTCTTAAAAGGCTCTTAAAATTTTAGATTTCGAGTATCTTCCAAGTAGTTTAAATTCGAAAATGTTAAATGATCGACTCTTGAGGCTGGGATTTGCTTTAGATCGGATCTAGATCTAAGGGTAGACACCCAGTTCTACCCAGTAGACACCCAGTTCTACCCAGTAGACACCCAGTTTTACCCAGTAGACACCCGGTTCTACCCAGTAGACACCCGGTTCTACCCAGTAGACACCCAGTTCTACCCAGTAGACACCCAGTTCTACCCAGTAGACACCCAGTTCTACCCAGTAGACACCCAGTTCTACCCAGTAGACACCCAGTTCTACCCTTGCACCCAGTTCTACCTAGATCTTGATCGAGTTTGAGATTTTAGTGATCTCATAGAGGCTCAATGTCTTAAAAATGAAAAAGCTTAGACCCAAAGACACCCAAAAACTTCGAGAAATGAATTCTCATTATTTAAACATTATCTAAATAAAATCTAAAAGAAAACTACATTAGCTAGAAATCTAAATTTGCATTTATAGTTGTCGGAGTTGGTATTATTCGATGAACTACTCAATAACAGATTCAGAAAAATCTCAAGGCCTTTCACTATAGAAAAACAAGAAAAAAGAATTCATTACAATCTTGCAAACGATCATTGGATTTGTATTTAAGTGATTTTATTGACTGTGGCTCAGGTGAAGAGAATCTTTTTCTATACTACATTTTAAAGCTTTAAAATTCTCATGATTCAACGAGAAGCAGATGGAGGGCTTAAAATTAAGAACTGTTACTAAAAACTGTTGTTACTATTTGATAGATCTAAGTGTTTTCTCTTGAAAACAACTTATAAACTAATTTTATTTCTTAAAAATGAAAGATTTTAAAAGCAATTCTACAAAGAGCACTCAAATCTCAAAAGGAAAAAAGCGTTTTGACATTAAAAGGTTGTTTAGAGTAACTTTTAAGCAAAAAATAGTAAAGGTGAAGAAAATCTTTCTCGATACTACATTTTAAAGCTTTAAAATTCTTATGATTCAACGAGAAGCAGATGTAGATCTAGTAAACGCACCGGAATCTACATAATCGCTAAGCGCTAGTTTTTATTTTTATTTTTATTTTAAGTTAAACTGTTTCTTAAAGTATAACTTTTGGGAAAGAAGATAGAATAAAAAGAGACGAAAATTCTGGCGTCTTTCTCGTTTTCAAATCAAAATCGAAGCTAATAACTAAAGGAACATCTAACTACTCGATTTTTTCTAACTAATTTGATACTTTGACGGCCATTCGTATGCCATTGTACCGTCCAGATTCGGAACTCGCACAAAACTCGTGAAACGGTCTGGAAATCTAGACAAACACTCAATAAGCTTTTCGGGAAAATTTGAAATGTTGATCTTGAAAAATCAAGTGAACAAAAACTTCAAGTTCTTTAGAAATTCATCAAAAACTTGGCCACAAATCTCTAGAGATAATTGCTCTTTCCAAAAAAACAAACTTCTTCAACTCATCTCGATAGAGTGAATCGGGAATTGCAGTGAGCACTCCAGCTCCATCTCCCGTGTCATTATCGCATCCACAAGCACCCCGATGCGCCATTCTCTCCAACATCGTTCGTGCATCTTTTAGAATCTAAAAAGAAACAATTAGCTTTTAAAATATTGACTTTTAAAGCTAACTTGCCTCCAAAAAGTCTATAAATCCAATTTTTTATGTTTATTTTTGTTAAATTTTGGGGATAGGCTAATTTCCGCCATTTGATTTGCGCAACTCGCCATAACTTACTTCTAAGTGGGCCAATCTTTATGATTTTGATTTCATTTTGTAGATCTCAACAAGTGCAACAAAATGACACCAAAATCATAAAGATTGACCGACTTAGAAAAAGTTATGGCAAGTTGCGCAAAAGATCTAGTTGCGCGAATGTCCCAAAAAATTTGGCAGCCTTATTTAATTACTTTATGAGTTTGGATCCCTTTGATCGAGACTACAAAACCGACTCCACAAAGTAGCCTATCCCAAATTTTGATTGTAAATAGATTTTCCCAGTTTTCCAGTCTATTTTCTTTTTCAAAATCTTCCAAAAACTTTTCCAAATATTTTTGGATAGATAAATTTCCTTTTTTTTTAGGTAAACATCTCTTATCTCAGTGAAAAAAGAAAGCAATTAAATCTCAGTGAAAACAAAACCAATTTATGTCTGGTAAAAGTTATCTTAGAAAGCAAAACAATATTTGTTTCAAATTTAAATTGAATTACTTTATGAGTTTGGATCCCTTTGATCGAGACGACAAAACCGACTCCACATGCGTCTCTCTCCAATTGAGGCTCCCAAAGAGTTTCTTTGCTTGCTTCCAAAGCTTTCTCTTTTGTGAGAATTACCATTCTAAAAGAATTCAGAAATAAATAAAGGTTTTGTAAATGTTTTAGAAGGGAAATTGTTAGGAAATTGTTAGGAAAAACTTTTGAAATCTCTCAATATTTTCCAGGGAACACCAGAAATTGAATTTTAAAAGTTTTAAACTAAGAAAACTTTAAGAACTAAGAATGTTCTTTAAGTTAAGAATGTGAAAACTTTAATCTTTATCTTTCAAGCTCTTTCAATCTTTATCTTTCCAATATTCTTTAAAGTTTAATCTTTCAAGCTTTAAAATTAAGCCACAGAATTTGTAACTTTGTACTGTGTCAAAAGCAAGAAGATTTCAAGAATGAGATTGGATAAAAAGAGAAATGGGTAACTGATTCTGTGAGGGAGAAAATGCCCGGAGGCGATAAGAGTGAAGGTCAAATGAGCAATGAAGAAAAGAGGAGAAAGGGGAAAACTTGAAGGAATCGTGAGTGAAAGATAGGGACATTGGGAAAGAAAAGGCAAAGGTTCATCTAAATCCAGCAGAACGCATGAAAAGCTTTGTGTCTAAGGAATGAATTTTTTGCCTCAAAGAGCTCAAAAAGCTTTTACCTTGAAAGAAATCTTTAGCATCAATCTCAAAGAACGCTTTCCATTATCATTTAAAGTTAAAAAGCACAGTTGAAGCCAGATTTTAAAGCTTTCTCATAATCAGCTCATATTTAAGCGCTTAGATTGACAAGCTTTTGTTAAAAAAGGTGATCCTTCTCATGGCTAGAGTTAGTTTTATAATATTTATACTTAATCAAACCAAATCTAAACAAAAGCTATAAAAAGCTATCAAAAAATCAAACTTTTTTAGAATTCAAACAAACATAGAATTGTATAATTGACTTTTGAAAAAGAAAATGAAAACGTTTTGATCTTAAAAATAGAGAAAGCACCGCCTCCTTTTACAAAAAAAACACTCAAAGACTATTAGAAAACGTAAATACACTAAACTCTGATAAGATAAAGAGAGAAATCTTTAAAGATCAATGTCTAAAGTCTACACTGAATCCTGATAAGATAAAGAAAGAATCTTTAAAGAACAATCTTTAAAGAATAATCTTTAAAGATCAATGTCTAAAGTCTAGACAAGGCAAAGGTTTAAAAATGCCTATTCGAACACAATTACAACAACTGAGGCAATAATTGGGGACAACATGAGCCAACAAAGTCTTGTGAGAAAATTATCTGTCATGTACAATAGGTTTGTTGAGATGAAAAGATCAAAAGTTTAGAGATTAAGAGTTGGATTTATCGAGAACCAGCTTGTGTGGGGAAGAATAGATAGATCAACACAAACGCAAGGCTTTCAACTATTCGATAAGTCGATTTTCAAAATGCATTTATTCAGACGAATAATGTGGTAATAAAACAATGATTGTAGGGAAGAAAAGAATGATCTAGCAGACGGGATTGAACCTTAAATCTCCTGACTAAGATATAGGGTTCTTAGCCAGTCAGCCATGGCGGCTTTAAACCATTCGACAAGCTGATTAGCCTATATGTGAAGCAAGGGGTAAAACTTTGAAAGTACACTGCCTGACACATTTACTTTATTTATATTATTTAAAGATAAGAATTAAAGTAGATAAAACTAAGTAAAAAGTGCAAGAGCAAGAGCTTTGAATAAAGCAAATGTGCTAGAAAGTGTGTGTTCAACATATACCGTAAATACTGTAATAACCCCACCCCCAAAATGACGGTGCGGAGGGTTGCGTAGTCTAGCTTTGAACGAGTTTTTCTTCTAGCTTTGAACGAGGAGTAATATTTTTGGGCTATTGAAATATTGCGTAGAGCAGTGAGCTTTTTGGAAAAAGCTACCGTAAATACTGTAATAGTACCCCACCTCCCTCGTACAGTCGCGTAGTCGCAAAAGTTTTTTCGTCTTTCATTTCTTTCAAAGCACCCGTACTTTCAAAAAATGCGTCTTTGGTATCAAAAAATAGCCCTGAATTTCAGCTATTTTTTGATACGAAAGACGCATTTTTTTAAAGTACGGGCGCTTTGAAAAAAATGGAATACTAAAAAACGTTTGCGACTACGCGACTGTACGAGGGGGGTGGGGTACTATTACAGTATTTACGGTATTTTCCTTGTAGATTACAGGTTTAACCTGGCTCACTGCAGATTAATCATCACAGACAGCATGGTCAATCTTTTCTTTATTAAACTTATCCAGTTCAGTTGAGTTATAGAGTTTTGCAAAATTTGAAACAGACTTGTTAAAAAGAAGACGTTTAAACTTTAAAACAATAGATTTAGAGCACTGTTGGTTGTGATTGTACGATTTTATTCAATTGAGAGAAAAGATTAGCACTTTAGAATAGAATTTTGATATCAATGTCGCGTTTTCATCTAACGAAAGCCGAGAAAACACGCGGTGAATCCAAACATCGAAAAGAGATAGCCGTTCATCTCAATTCGGGTCGATCTCGGGGATGCCCTCGCGCAGCTGCCCCTCTCCACTCTACTCCCATTTATCCCCGCGCTTTCCCCCAACAATCCCCTCCAATCTCTACGCATATTACAAAAAGTTCACCACACACTTTTCTCGAAGCTCTCTTGCTCATTTAAAGAACGAACAGTAACTCCATTATGTGGTACAGAACAACAATATTAGCCGTAAACTTTTACAAGATATCTAGTCTACAAGATATCTAGACTAGGAGATATCTAGTCTACAAGATATCTAGACTACAAGATATCTAGACTACAAGATATCTAGTCTACAAGATATCTAGTCTACAAGATATCTAGTAAACAAGATTTCTGTAGACAAGTCTGTTTACAAGATTTTACAAGCTAGTCTAACGTTTAGAGATTTCAATATTGCAAAAATTTGTTTAAAAGTGTCTGTTTTTATTTTCTGGATGAAAGGTTTTAGCCGAATAGGGGTTTCATTAGATTTCCAAATAGCAGCCAAGGTAGAGAAATAGTAGAGAAATAAAGAAAAAGTAGAGAAGGTCCCTTTCTCAAAGAGGATCAAATAAAAGGAAAATGAAATATGCTCGTCTTTTCATTTGACTTGAAAGACAAGTAAAGAAGGGACTTCAGTGTTCGTTGTGGTTGTTGTTGCCTGGTATGAATTAAATGCTAAACTCACAAGCGAATGTCGATATACTCAATAAAATGAATAGCTACAATCGATTCCCGATCCCAAAAACTCTCGGGTATAACTTTACAGCTGAATATCTTCTTTTTCTATCATCTACAAAGCAAACTGCACTATGTAAAAGGATTGCGAGGGGTTCTTTGTGCGGCCGCGTAATCGCTCTCCATCAGGCAAACAACGCTGGAATGGGGTGCCTGCATTTTGGAATTCTCGTTAGGTGGGCGACTGAGCTGGCCCCGCTTGTTTGGGCGTCGCTATGCTCAAACCCTTTGCCTTTAGATATGCTTGGACTCCACTATAATCTTTACAGTCGATAAAACAAAATTAATTGGGAAATTCAAGTACAACTATCTAGATGCTACATTGAATTTTTTAATGCTATAATAAGTTACTAGACCATTTTAGAATTCACAATCAGAGTTGGCTTAAATTTGGTTGTATTTTTGCGACAATTTTGTATTTTGTATTTTAGATCTATTAAATAATCAAGACTTCTTTTGAACAATAGAGATTTGAAGAACTTTCTTTTAACTTTTCATAGTTAAATTAATTTTAAAGGACCTGATTGATTGGCCGATTGCCAAAAATTTTCGGACCAATTTTTGTCTCAAGTTTGATGCTTTTTTTGCGTATTTTGATCGTTTAACACCTGATAAAAGTACATTCCTATACGATTAACTGTTGGAAAAACGATTTACTGTAATCATTTCTACTTAAAACTACCAAAAACATTATGCAAATTTTAATTAAGAGAAACATTTCAAGATGATTTCTATTTCTTTTTACAAAAGCAGTAACTTTATCGAAGGTGGACATTGAAAAACTCACAAAATGATAGTAAAAGCAAGCATCACAGGGATATTTTTAAAAAAAATTAGCTTTACAGCAATTTACAAGAAGTTGCATATTATTTCTTAAAGAATAACCATCTTAAACTATTCAAAAGCATTCAATGACAACAAAATAATGATCGTAAAATGAAGATTTGGGTTATATAACCCTAGAAAGCTATCTTAAAGTTGTAAAAGGAGTGATAAGGGTCAAAATGAACACGTACAATTGACTCGTTGATTTGAAGGAAACAATCGACTCTCGATCCAACAATTTTAAATTCTAAAACACTCCCTTGATTTCTGCCCAGTCAAACGCAATCGTTGACCGTTCAAGAAATTTGAACGTTTTAGAATTATTAAATCAAAATTTTTTGTCCCAAGCGAATCGTTAAATCGAGAAGACTGTATAGGAACGGAGAAGAAGCGCAAACCCGTGATGAATAAAAGAAGAAGTGGATTTTCGAGAGTAGAAATACCAGATCGATTGATTGAGGAATTGATTTCAACCGATTTTCATTCATCTCGATGAGAACCACGAGAAGACGCGTCATCCATGTCCGATACTAAACAAGATTGGCTGAACAATATTGGCGTAAGAGTTGAACTATGAGCTCCAGCTGAGGTTCAGGTGAGACTCATTAAGCCAGACTGGATTGATACTAGGTCTAGCTTTTCTCTTTACAAGACAGCCCAGGCCAGGAAAATTCTAAACCATTTTAAAACAAGATCTAAAACATTAGTCAAATCTTGTGATATCTTGAGAATGGTTTAAAACCAATTTCTAACTTGGATTGTTCTGTAAAGAATTTGGGAAAAGTTACTCCGTTCTGGTTTGGCTTGATCAAGTCTTGCTTTCAAGCCAAGAATGGTTCAGATAGGATTTCAGTGATATTTACCGTTAGCTTAGCTTAGTTCAATCTTAGAGTCCAATCAACAAAGCCCAACTGTTACATTTGGTTCTAGACATCGGCATTATCAGCTACAAAAATGACGACCTGTCTCACTATAAACGCTTCTAACATGCTTTAAATCTTGATTGATAGCTAAAATATAGAGAATTTCAAGAGCTTTCGAATGGATTGACTTGAAACGGACCGTACTCGCACGTAGTCAATGCAATCTAGTCAGACTACAAACCACTGTAACTTTCTTTAGCATTTCTATTTTTAAGTCTGCTTTAGTCCATCGAAAGCTCTTGAGATTCTCTATATTATAGCTATAAAACATGTCAATCAGGATTTAAAGCAAATTAGAAGAGTTTGTAGTTAGTGCCCTCTCTAACGGCTACCTGAATCGTGTATTGGTCGAGGAGTTTGTGGGACTGATGGAGGACCCATCGACGACTCGCGAACATCGTGTGGCTCCATTCGGAATGGTGTAACGGCTAATAAAAAATAATTTACGAAATTTGAGGATCTTTACCTGATGAAGCAGCTAAACATTGATCAAATCGATCATTGAACGAGCGTTTCATATCATCTAGTACTCTGCAAAAATTCTATTGCCAATCGAATTTGGTTAGATTTACCTGCAATAGTCCTCTTTCTCCTTAATCAACCCAGCAATTGTATCCTGAAGCAAGCGGATTTGATTGTCTTCTAAATAACATTGCTATGATTAATGCTGACAATCATACTTGCAATCTCTGCTTGTTGATACTCTTGGAGTTGTTGTTGAACAACGCGAAGGTTGTGACGAGTGACTCGAAGCTGTAATGGATTTAATTTTTATAGCTTTTAATCAATACCTCATTTCCACGAGTATCAGGCGAAATAGCTGGCATCGGACGCTCAGGAAGGGGATTTACAATGGCAATCATTTCAGAGCTAAATAATAATAATACTTCATACCAACCGGAGTGGGTTTATTGGATACAAATACACCAATCAATACTAGGCTATCTTAACCGCCTTCCTCAGACGGCTTTCTAAACCCTAATGGACGGCTCTAGATATCTTGTTCTGACGGTGAAGAAAAGGTGAACTATCTTCTTTACAGAACTAGCGCTTATACTAGTCTCCTCATCTAATCAAGACTGCAGCTCTAAAGCAGCTCGGAATTCGAGCTGCCTACAGCAGCCCTGAATTCACCGACCTGTCTCCAAACCAGCTACTAACTGAGCCCAACACTTGGCAGATCTAACATGGGTTAAGATATAGCCTAGTATTGTGATTATGACAACTTAGCAGATCTGGATACCGTGTTTCAACGCCAAGAGGCTAAAAAGAAATCTTGTCCAGTATTGGGTGACCAAGAGGAAATCAAAACAAACTAAGCTTGGTGCATGCACTGACAATTGATCATATACTAACAATGTTCAATGTCACTGAATTAAGCTTTCTGGAGTGTTGAAGTACTATGGTGTCCTTTTGTCCAACTACTCACCTAGATGGTGGTGTAATGTTGATAACTTCTGGGTCAACAAAGCCGCGTTGATAAGCTGCATTAATGATTCGTTCCATTCGTCTAAAATTCGCAAAACATGAACTTGAACAACCGTCGAGTTTCTTACTTTTTATCGTTATTCAAATGTTCCATTTGTTTCCCAAGTGTATTGTACAGCATTTCTTGCTCTGTCTCCAAAGCATTCTCTTGATCAATTTTCTCTTTACGCATTCGATCCAATGTCTAAACATTTGTTTTAATACTGGAAAGATATAGAAAGAATAATTAAGATTCTGGAAAGATTATAAATTCTCTACCTTGCGAGTTTGTTCCAATTCGGTCTCCGTTTTTCGTACAGTTTTCATCAAACTGTCGATCACTTCTGCATGCTCTTTCTTCATCTCTTGTTGCATAGAATCACGCTCAGCTTGCACCTAAAGATTCCAGAAGTTAAGCTCAAGATTTCTCAAAAGATTAGTTCTTAGATTTAAATTTTTAACAAAGTTTACATCCTGCATCTTCTTCATCAAATTGATTGCAATCCTCTCCTCCTCTTGCTCATATTTCTGTGCAATCACTTCCTTTTCAGCTTTCAGCTTTTGAATCCTTTTGAGCAACACGTTCGAGATGTACTCCTCTTCTTGTTCAGCCTAAAATAATAACAATTAAAAATGATAACAAACTCTAAACCAACCTTTGAATATAATTTCCCATAAGTCTCACGAATCGTTTTATTGGTGGAAACGAGATTGCGATTCTCTTCATGCACGCGATCGATGTATTTCTGAGATTTGTTTTATATAGTTTACAAGTTACAGCGGTTTTTCAGTTCTTTACCTCTAATTGTTTGATGTGTTCAATGTATTGAAGACAATTTCGGCAATGACTACCGATTGGAGTTTCGACAAGGCGAGGGGTTGATGGACGCATCTAAAAAACGGATTGAAAAGCTTTCTGAGCATATTAAAGATATAAATCACTAAAAGAATACCAACTAAAGGTGAAATTTTTAAATTAGATCAGGTCCCAGATTGCATATAATAATACATTTAATAGAAACCCCCTATAGAAGCGTTGCGACTAAGTTTACACTCAAAACAACCGCTCATATCTCGGCATCAGTACATTTGTTTTTGCGCACTTTGATATCAAATTAAAGTCGAGAAAATGGGTGATTTTTTAAGATATAACAAAGATATAACAAGATATTTTTAGCATTAACCAGCGATTAGAAAAGTGATTAAAAAACGATGACAAATCAGCTTTTTTGTCACATACAATATCTGGATTTCAAGGTCTCATTTGAAAGAATATTTTAAGTTGGCAGCCATCACTGATTAGAATTTGTGCAAAAGTGCAAAATTTTAAGGTAAAACTTAGATTCGATAATGTTTAAAGCTTTAAAGCTTACCTGAACAGGAAAGAATTCGTCGGACATCCCACGAGGAGATGGTGACGGTGTCGTGTGTCGGCTACCCTGACGTGACATCGAAAAAAGTTAAGATAAACTTTAATTCTACAAAAAAAAACATTAAAAGAACAAAGGAATAACGGTGATCAAGGGGTAAGGCCAGGGCTAGGGCCAGGTAAGGCAAAATTACGTTACAAAGATCAAGCTGATATAAAAAACATTCAAATAATATTTAAATTTAAATATACAACAGTTTTTATGTTACTTTAGCACCAAAAATCTTTAGAAAACTTTCAATCAAAACTATTTGCTGTCTTTTGTTTGTCATACGTTTAGATTAGACTACGCGTAGCTCCTATTATCGCTGTTTTTTGTTCACTAGTGTCAACAATAGTAAGGCAGGACTAAGAGAGCTAAAATTTTCGAAAGAAAAAGATCAATACAAATGTTTGGATAAAAATTTATAAGGAAATTTACATCTGAACTTGGCAAATTTGTATTGAAACACAAGAACTACTATTGTTAGAGTTAGATTGAAATTCGGTAAAAACTTGAAGAATAAACAAGGCATTGGTTGGCTGATGGAAAAAATAATTGATAACTTCTCGACTGGTCAACGAAATGGCTATCTAGATGTTTTATCAAAGATCAATTTAACAACTTTTTGCAAAGAATCAATGTTTTTGATTTGAACAAGCGTTTCTTTTTAGATAAGATCTTATTCACAGGCCATGTTGACTTGAAAAATGTTTCTCAAAATATTGAAAAGAAAAAAAAGACAAAAGGATGACTATTCGAAAACAAATCTAAATCAATTACCGCCGATTCGAATTAAAATCAAATCAAAAAAGAATCAAAACAATCGATTACCTTTTAGGGTAGTTGTAGAGCATTTAACCCGTTAACTGAATATCTTTAACGTTATTTGCTTGTTTTTTTGCCAGAATTTCAGTCTCTTTCATTCATAAAAAGAAAGAAAATTCTTGCAAGTTGAATAAAACTAAAAATCAAACAACAAACAATAAAACTATCTATTTAGCCCGTTAACTGAATATCTTTAACGTTGTTTGCAATTTGACCAATTCTTTTCATTGGTCAGGTCATACATCAATTTGGGAGAAAAGTTTGCCGATTTTGGATTGATTGGTTTTGGAACTCAGGCAGATCAAAACTTCGCGCACCACCAGGTACTTGAACCCGCGACCTTTCGCTTGCCATGCAACTGTGCTAACCATTACACCACCAGGCAGCTGATCACCTTTACTCCAGAGGGAGTTAACTATCACGATCAATTAAGGAAAAAGCATCTCCGCTTGGATAAAAGATTCGAACAAACCAACTTTATTCAGCCTAAGGGATAAAATATGTGCTTTGAATCTAATTTGATATCTTTTAGGCCAATATTTAACCAATTTTGGATAAGGATTATGTGGAATTTTTACTTATAGTTTTTTCTGCATTTTCCCTTTCGGAAGCTGGCTTTTCACTCGACGCGTTGATTTATTTGTTTAACGCGCACGCAGCTCCCACAACTGAACTGTACAGCGGTCAACTACCACTTATTCTTTTTTAAAAGTTAGAATAGTTATCTTTATTATCATTTTCATTAAAAGTTAGTAATTTTTTTAGAAGTTTTCTATCTTTCAATCATTTCCGAGTTGGTATTTTCCGGTTTTTATAGCAAAACGCACAACAAATCAAAGAATGATACTCAGCTTTTATTAAAAGCGAAAAACCATGGCTAACCGGCTAAAGCCAAACAAAAATCAAAAAGTAAAGTGTTCTACTCGTTCTAGAACTTATAACAAGATCATTTCTTTTTCTTGAATGCCTGAAAGGAAATCAATTTTAATGTTCTAAAGCCTACTTAGTTGTTATTTAACTATAAGTCTTCAAAGAAAAGCTCACAAAGGCATTACCAACAAGAAAGATCTATTTATTTCTTCCTTATTAAACTTTCCATCCAACTACAGCTTCACTATCCTACAATTGTCCCACTTTCACATAATAAACGACCAATTCCCTAGAACCGAAACTTTTCTTTTATCCTCAAAATTTCATCTTTCAATTACCAACTTCTCTCCTACATATCTTTTCCAAATCTTTTTAAATTTCGTTATCTATTTCGTTATCTATTGTTCTTTTTTTTCGTTCATTACATTTTGCAGCTTTCTCTGACTGAAATCGATTACTCTCTTGGTATCTTTAAAGCAAAATTTTCAAATTTTATCGAGGTTTTTCTCTTTCCAATAACCTCGCTTATCAATTTTTCACCGATTTTTAAACTCTATTTTGTCAAAATTTGTTTTTTTTTAAATATATTAACTTTCAATCTTTAAATTTTTTAATAAGTGAATGCTTTGATTTGTTTAAAAATTTAAATTCATTTCATTAATTCTGAGAATTATTAATTCTTCTATCCTGAGAAAATCTAATTGACCGAGCTTTAAAGATGAAAGATTTAGAATCAAAAATGATGATATTCTTGAAAAAGATGTTTAAATTTTAGTTCAAAAGATATTAAAAGCTTATGATAAGAAGATATTTAGATGGGGAATTGTAAAATGTTTGTCACGTTCTTTTTTTTCAAACACAATCTCGTTCTTTGTAGCATTACAAAGAACGAGATTGTGTTTGAAAAAAAAACGATTAAAAAAATTGAAATTGATTGAAACATTGAAAATTCTACTATTCCCATAAAACTTTTTACTTTTAGAATAACAAACTTTCAGATAAGTGTGTTATTTTTAAATTAAGAATGAAGTTTTATAGATATTATGAATCATTTACAGTATTAAAAGTCTAATATTTTTCTTGAAATTTGCTTTTACTTCAACTCTTTCTCAGATTTTTTGTATTGAAAAGATTGAAAAATTAAAGATAAGTTTTGAATTTTATTTGAATTACTTGAAGATTAGTTTTATTTGAATTATTAGGTTGGTGAATTGAAAACTACGGGACTTTGTTATTCGATCAAGATTCATTTTACATGTCGCTATAATCCTGCGCCACCCTGTATGCAAATATTGCAATTTATTAAGCTCTATTATTCTGTGATTAGTTAAAGATTCTATTGGGTTGGTGAATTGAAAACTGCGGGACTTTCAACTAAAATTTATTCAAAATAAAACCATCAATTCATTCCAAATAGTTTCCATTATTATTGACGACTTCTGCCCATTCTACAGGCAATTTGCGGATTCCTCTTTCGTAGTAGGACTTTGGTTTTGAATCGAAAAACTTTCAAAGCCAATTTTTGACTGCTTCTTCTGAATCGAAGTGTTCTCCCGCAAGCTCATTACTCATGGTCCGGAATAAATAGTAATCAAAAGGGGCGAGGTCCGGGCTGTATGGGGAATGCGTCAAAAGTCCCCAAACAGGGCTGTTTATTTTAGAGCGAGTCAGTTTTGCAACGTGAGGGCGCGCGTTGTCGCGGAGGAGAACGATCTTTGACTTCAATTTTGGTTTGTGTGTGAGACAAGTGTGAGACTCAAAAATGGAGGACTGGAGATGTCCCAGTTTGAGCATTTGAGCACTTTGTTCAAAAGAAACCCATTTTGGTGTCAATAGAAAAGTTGTAGAGAATCAAAAATTAGGCTTATAGCCAAATTTCCAAAAAGATACACTTAGTAGTTTCGCTTAAAATGCAAGTTTTGTGAAAATTCGTAAATTTGGCATTTCTTGAAAACCAGTTTTTGAATCGTTCTGAAAATTTGGATATAAGCTTGATTTTTGATTCTCTACAACTTTTCCATTGACACCAAAATGGGTTTCTTTTGAAGAAAGTGCTCAAACTGTGACATATGACAATAGCCCGCAGTTTTCAATTCACCAACCCAATAGTTAAAGATAAATTTGTCATTCTACAGGGTGACCAAGACAAAAGGCCTGGCTTTTAACCAAATATGCAAGCCATCTCGAAAAGTTAACTTAAATATCTTTATTCAACATATAACAGTAACAAATATTAACAATTAAATTCAACTTTGCCTCCATCGGCATTCAGACAGGCCTGCAAACGTTTGGGAAACGCGTTGATCGTGGTTTATATGCTTTTTTTAAAGTTTAAAAAGATTTCATAAAAAAAACAAAAAAATGAAATCCAATCTCGAATCTCTCAATTGATTTTCATTCAAAATTTCCATAGAATTTTGAATTTTGAAATGAAAAGTTTATCCCTGCAAAACGTGGAATTTTTCAGTTTTACTTCAAATTTCACATTTCATTAAATTCAAAAAACCTATGGACTCTTTGCCGGAAGAACTGATCAAAAAAATTTTCGACTTCTGCGATTTCTATTCACTTCTACAAATGAGACAAGTAAAGTAAAGCAAAAAAAAAAACTTAAAAAATTCAAATTTTATAAACTATTCTAAATAGAAAATGATTTAGGTGAATATCCGGCTCAACTTTTACGTCAACAATCATTTATGGAGAAGAAAAGAGCTTTTTTTGGGCACCGACTACATTCAGGTGGAAACAAATGGGCTCTATAATGAAAAAAAATGATTTATTTCAGGAAAATCCGGATTTAACAAATGAAATGAATGAAACGACACTGAAAATCGAAAAAGTCGTCGAGTTTCTGGGAAATTTCATGCCAAAACTGAAGACATTGTCCCTATCAAAGGCTCCGTGCAAAATATCGTTGACGACTGTTTGTCAGGTAAGTCAAATGGAAAGAGAAAAGTGCCGAAAGTGGCTAGTTGAATAAGCTGACAATGATTTATGAATTAATTTTAAATTCGTAACCTTTTATTTTGTTTAAATATGTGAAGCCCAAATGAGCCTCAATGAGAAGCCATTTGTAAAACAGTTAGTGTCTTAAAACAAAGGAAATTGATCAGTTTTAGAATCTATTATAGCAGTGTCTGTCTGTCTGTACCGCAATTGTTTGATCAATAAAGCTAAAACTTCCTTAGAAAACCTTAGAATATATTGTAATTGTGTTATTTAAAATAAATGGATGAAAAAGAGAGAATTGAGCGTCACTATGGGGGGTCGAACCCAGGTGGTGTGGGTTGTAGGAAAGCGCCCTCCCGACTAGACCACGGCGACCTACCTCAAACACCAGAAAAACCCGCTCTTACCCAAGTTTTTCGGCTGATTGATTAAAGTATAGAAATGAAAAGCATTTGGAACTGAGGGGGAACCCTCGACCTTTTACTCAACGGTCAGATCTACCACTGAGCTATCAACGCCAAGAATTGCCAAGAAGAAATAGGAAAGACAAGGAAGAGAGAGGGAAATACCCGGGGCATAAGTTTATTGTCAAGTTGACAACGATGGGATCTAGCTGCCTTTTGAAAGACTGACTTAAAAGACTTTCCTTTTGAATTCAGCTTTCATCTTCTGTGCTAAACTTGGAAGAGTTAGAGATCTCTTGCAATAATGGTTATCCAATCGTTGAACCGGATGCTTTACGAGGATTGGTGATGTTTAAAGAGTTGAGAATTTTGTCGGCAAAAGATTGGCAACCGAAGATGATCGTGAGGAGAGGTGAGTAAATTTCAGATGGAAATCAAGTGGAAAACAAGAAGAAGTAATCAAGATAGAGATTTCTTGTAAATTAACCGCAAAATAGTTTGAAATTGGGTGGTTGGGGCATTCGGATCGATAGAGTGGAAGAGAGAGGCTCTTTCATTCACGCAATTCCCAGGGATTACAAGCATTATGTTTATATTCCGGCCGTTCTCCCTTTCTCTTTCCCATTTTTTCATTGAAAATTGACACCTGTTCAAATTGTTTGATTGATTGAAAAAATGAAAATCTGAGAAATTTTGCAGAAAAGAGTTATAGATTTAAAGTTATTTTGATACTTAACAAAGTTTTAACCATGACTGACTTTTAAATTACTAAACAATCAACAAATCTAGCTGACAAGGGAATGCCAACCGATATGATTCATGGATTGAACCTTGTTATTTACAAGAAAATGTCAACCGGTTGTGGTGGTCAAATGACAAAATCCAGATACCAGTGTCTCTGGGAAATCTTCTCATAAACTCAGGGGATGATTTTTCGTTTCCTAGTATAATCAAAGCTTTTGAATTGATAATAGAGCAAAGTTTTTTTGGGAATTTCAAAAGGATACAAGAATCAAAAAGTCTGATCGAAAAGAGTGGGCTATTCTGGGAAAAAAATTCGATACAAAACTTTAAATGCTCGTAAATTTTGATATTTAGCTCATATTTAGCGAAAACGAAAAGCAGATTCAGAATCAGCGTAAAATTCTGCGACTAGTATCTCGACTAGTATCGACTAGCTCGCATCATTCGGCCACCACACCCGGTTGGCATTTTATTGTAAATAACAAGGTTCAATCTATCGTATCCATTAAAAGTTCATAAAAAGATTTCAGTTAATAAAAGTCTAAAATTTCTTTTAAAATTTGATTTAATGAATTGGATTTTTACTTTTAATGGATTTTTAATGGTTTTTAATGGTTTAATGGACTTTTAATGGATTTTTAATGGATTAAAATTTCTTGTATGATGGTTTCTTTTAAAATTTGATCTTTCAGGTGGTTGTCATCGACAAGACGGTCTTCCGTTAATCGTCGAGCTTGAAACACTCACATTAAGCAGTTTGAGAGACGATGTTGTCAAAGTTTTATCTCAAATGAAGACTGAAGGAGTCACAATGCCAAAGTTGAAGCAAGTAATGGCAAGTTTTACAATCAATAGATCTAAAAAACTCTAGAATTCTTTAAGAAATCGAATTTCAGTTGTATGATGGGTTAAGTTCACCACAAATGCCTTCAATTCTCTCATGGTTTATTGAAAAGCATCAAACGTTGAGAAAAATTGTCTTGCAAAAAGTCCTTTTCACAACGATTTCGGAATTGGAAACGTTTTTGCTGTAAGTTAATGAATGAAAATGTATAAATGCTTTGTAAATGATAAAACTGTAAGCTAAAGCTAACAATTTAAAGCTAAAGAAAGCTAACAATCTATTATTGATAAGAATATATCGAGCAATCTAATCGGCTATTTAATCAATTAATTTTACTATTGCCAAATGTTTCAACATTAAACAAGCTTTACTAAAGAGTTATGAACTTTAAAAGCTCACTTATGAGCAACACTTGAACTTGAACAATCAAATTTTAGTGTAATCGTTCAACATAATCATCTCGAAGAAGTAACACTTAAAGAATGCAATGTAATTGAACCTCTCCATCCTCAATATTGGACTCGTTTAACTACAGTCTGTAAGCTACGCAACTTAAAATTTAATGGACAAGTCTTATCAATGAGATATTTTAGTAATTAGAAATAAGAATATTGGTTTATTGATGTAATTAAGATTGCGATTTACCTTTAACGAGTATTCTTTATTATCAAATCGGGTTTTTTTAATTTAAATTTGAAACTTTTATGTGATCTGTAATAAATGTGATAATAAATCCTTTTACTCTACGAGAGGTTTCTGTCCACTCTGAGCCAGCTTTAGGACACCTACGTTACGATTTGACAGATGTACCAAACTCCCTTCGGAAGGTCCAAACTCCCTTCGGAAGGTTGATTTTCAAATTAGGCTCAAAATGCACTTTTGTGCTAATTTAATCCATTTTCGTTTGAATTTAAGCAAGATTAAAAGAAAGAGAACGGTTCGATCGATTGGATTGTTCTGAAATTTTGGGAAACTATTTAATCGATGAAGCGTTTTATTTTAAATAGTATGCAATCACTCAAAAATATATTAGCTCATGAATGCTAGAAACCAGGATTTTCAACTCTTACATTAAAATGCCTGAAAAAGTTCTAAAATAAAACATTTTTCAAAATTCAAAAAAACCATTTTTTAGATTAAGGATAGAGCTTTTGAATCAAGCAAACCGTTTTTTTGATTGGATAAGCCGTTTTTTCAGAAAACACATTACCAAAAAAACGATCATTTATAACTTGCCAACCTAATAGTTAACAACTCAGCCAACTTGCACTCTTCAGATAACGCTTGTTGTTCAGAATTTTGTTCAAAATGTTCAGAATCAGATTTCAGAAAACATCTTTGTTTTTCTGGACTTTGTTATCAATAAACACGTGGTACAAAACTTTTGAAATTTTGAAGTTATTTATTTAGTACTTAAAGAGCTACTCTCACTCGATACACCATTTTTTGCTTGAAAAATCTCCTGATTTTCAAAATTTGAATACTAAATTGAAAGAAAACTTTTTAAAATCCATATCTCTTATAAAACTATCAATATTTTAACAAAAAAGTTGACTAAAAAGGCTTTTTTATAATGATTTTTCTTTGATTCATCCAATCAAGCAATTCTCAAGTTAAAATTTTGATTTTTCTGCTTTTTGTGTAAATTCTTTAAATATTGTGATTTGTTTTTTCAAGTTTTGGATAGGATTCGAATTTGGAAAAACAGTTTGCTTTCAAGAAATTCAGTAGTTTGTCAGTATCCTGTAAAAGATCAAAATTATTTTCTAATGTTCTTGTTAAAATTTTAATTTTCTGCTTTTTACACAATTCTTTCAATATTGTGATTTGTTTTTCAAGTTTTGGATAGGATTGGAAAACAAACAAAGAAATTCAGTAGTTTGTCAATATCCTGTAAAAGATCACAAATCATTCTAATTCCAGCCGTCGTAACCGACCGGATAGGAGTCTTGTCTCCTAGTCTCCTAGGGGGGCAAAGGTTTGTGATCGAGGCCACCCAAAAATAAATAATTAGACATTCGAGTTCGAAGCTTAGCAATTGGAATAGACAGCAAATTGTCCGAAATCTAAACAATCCTTCATTTCCCCCGACTTATCATTGCCTAATGGCCAATGGCAAGCCGTAAAAAAACACAAATCATTCTAATTCTAGCCGTCGTAGCCGATCGGATAGGAGTCTTGTCTCCTAGTCTCCTAAGGGGTCAAAGGTTTGTCAGTATTCTGTAAAAGATCACAAATCTTATTCTAATTGGCCGTCGTAGTCGACTGAATAGGAGTCTTGTCTCCTAATCGGGGGGTCAAAGGTTCGATCCCTGCGGCTTCCTTTTCCCATTACTATGGTTTTTTTCTTAACAACATTTAGGTAATAGGGGTAATTAGGGGTAAAAGTTTCCTCCGTTGTATTTTAATTCATCATTAGATCATCATTCTACTTCATCTTCAAAAACTTCAAAAACTTTAAATAGACTTTACTTGACTTTAATTGGATTTTCTAATTTCTCATTGAATTTCTTCTTATGTTTGTTTGATATCAAACAAATTTAGACAATGATTCCACAACGCGAAGTGATCACATTCACTGTTATTTTCCTTCTCGCTTTCTTTTATCCAAATCTCAAAGGTCCAGACTACATTGGCAGTCTTCTTTTCACAGCGGCTGGTTGTGCTCTACACAGACTCCTCGCAGCAATCATTGAACAATATCGTTAAATTTTAATTTTGAACCTTATAATGTCAAATAAATGAAAAAAAAACTTTATTTTGCTTTATTATATTTAAAGAATTTACACAAAAAGCAGAAAAATCAAAATTTTAACAAGAGAATTGTTTGATTGGACGAATCAAATAAAAAACATTATAAAAAAAGCCTTTTTAGTCAACTTTTTGTTAAAATATTGATAATTTGATAGGAGATATAGACAAGGTTAAACAGTAGCGATCTCTAAAGCATTTGTCGCCCAAAGTCGAATGAGTCACACCGATCTCAAATCAACTTCCTTGACGATCCGATTAAAAGCTTTTCATGAAAGAAAAACTGTTGGAAAATTTCTTACTGCCAATCCTCGTTTTGATCTTTTCTCTCAAAAAATGTTTCAAAACACATTTGAAAGAATCCCTAAAACATAAAAATGAAATGTCATGCCAATGAAATGTAAGATCATGCCTATCTTTTAAGACAAAATCCTTACTCTAAAGTTAGCTCGATCTTTTGTTAAAAACCGTTTATAAAATTAACCATTCTACGCATTTCTATAAACGTCTTTAGTTTGACATTGTAGTTTATCTAATCTTCTTTATAAACCTTTGTACTCTTGTCTCGTTAACTCTGTAGCTATTTTATAACAAGTGTTCGGAACTTCTTCCGATAAAATTTATTTCTCTTTGAAATCTATCGATCAATGTTCCCTCTGAATCATCCTTTTCCTCCAAAATCTTTCCACGATTTCCCCAGCCATAAGCTAGCCAAAACATAGACATTTCTAAACATTTCCCCCCTCAACTTTTCTGTATGTAAACCCTTCTGTGCTTTAATAAATATTCTGCCTGAACCAAGGGATAGAGACACATCTTATTCCGAACATTTTGGTGCGCAGTCCTGACCGATCATCTCTCAGCTCATCTCTTGTCTCTCGTCGCTTTCATCTCTTGTGGAATCTACTTCAGGCGGGAGCCCCTCAAATTTTTGGGGAGGACCGACTGAATAGGGTTGATCCCGAGAAATTCGAGGGCCGATCGAAGAGACCCAATTGAGAGGACGCTGAAAGATTTATTCGGCTGGACCCCCCTCCAAATCGAAGACTCGTCGATCCCGCGACGGTGTCAGTGATCAACCGAGAGCCCAACAAGCCTCATCAAGCCCACGGAAAACCCGACAATCCGACCGATCCAGCAAGAGCGTCGTGAAGCGACCACAAGCAAGGATCCCGAGCTCCAAGTCAAGCTCACCAAAGCCTTCATCTATAGAAGCCCTCGTCGAAGGTTTTTCTCGCCAAGCCAGCCGAAGAAATCGCTCTCCGTCTGGACTTCAACGACAACTTGATAGCTGTCACCCAATTGCTCCGTCACCACACCGTTCCGTCTGCAGTCGCTCGCCACTTCAAAAGAGCCCTCGCGATTAGAAGACGAGAACAATCCCCGGTGACCCATACAGCAGAAAGCCCAAAGGACATTGCTCCATCCATCCAAGAAGAAGCTCCTGAGAAACATCACGTATCAACGCCCATTCCAACGGTGGACTCAGACGTGAGCTTCAACCCGGAGTCAAAAAGTTAACCTCAAAGTACTGAAGAAGCAGTACCCGGTACAAGCACCACGGTCGACGTTTCTCGCCAGACATCACCAAGACGAAAAAGAAAACCTCGCAATCGAGGAGCGAAACGACGGGCAGCACAGGCAATTGCTGCGGCCGCCAGAACCATTCACTTCGATTCCAGCCGGCTCACCATCACCTTCAACACTCGACAGTAAAAGATGACTGCCGTGATGAAAGGGAAAGTAACCAGAGCCGTCACAAAAATCAACGGGATTCTCGAACGAGTCAAAAACAGTGACGGATCACTCGAAGGCGATCTCTTGTCAAACGACATTGACAGAATCAACAAAGCCGCAAACTCGATCGAGATATTCCTTGGTGAAATCGTGTCAGCCCAAAAGGAGATGGATGTGGCCCAGAAACAATGGTTAGACTACATCGCATCACTTGGCGAAGAAGCACGGGTAAAGGAGGTGGAAGCAATGGAGCGACATCTGGATTCAAGTGACGGAGCCAATGAAGTGCTGAAGGCAGCTTCAAAGCACGCGGTGCTACTGGAACGTCTCAAGCATCGTGCCCACCAAGCACTCCGAGAGCTCTCACCAACCATCACCACTTCCTCACCCACAATAACTACCCCTCCTCTCTACGCTGCTCCAAATCCATCTGTTCCACAGCCTTTTCTTCTCCCCAAAATTCCGCTACCAAGATTTGATGGGGATGAAAGCAAGTTCCGACTGTTCACACAAGCCTTCGACCAAACAATCGATTCACAGAATTGGCCAAAGGTTGTCAAGTTCGCATACATTTTCGATTCACTCGATGGACGGGCCAAGCAAGCAATTGCTGGTTTCGAACTTTCCGAAGAAAACTACGACCTCGTCAGAACTCGATTAAAAGAACGATTCGGCAACGAACAGTCACTCAGAAACAAGATTTTCTCGCAAATCTTGTCACTCCGACCCTACGGCGAATCATACAGCGAAACTGTGGAATTGGTTGATGAAATTGAAGCTCTACTCCAACAAGCGGAGACATTGAAAATGGACGTCAAAGCCGAAGCCATTCGACTGGCAATCGAAAAAGCCCTTCCTAGATGGGTCGAGTTCAGCGTCTTCCAAATAAAATTATCTTCTCCCGTATGGAAACTCGGCGACCTCAGGAAAGCCTTGGCAAAAATCGTGAAATCTGGTGCCGAGCGACAGCAGCACTTCAAACGACACGAAAGAGCCACAACAATGGTCACCACCTACTCGAAGAAAACCCGACCACCTGAGAAAGGACAAAACGAGTTCCACAGAAAACCCAACCCACCCAACACAAGCGAAACGCAAGCAAAAACCAAGAAACCTCCACGAAAAGCATGCGCCTACTGCTCGGAAATGTGCAGGAAATTTGCGAACCCAGAAGCAAGGAAACGCCATCTCCAAGCAACCCAAAAATGCTTCAACTGTCTCCAAGAAGGACACAACATGGCGAAATGTCCAAGCAAATGGACATGTCGAAAGTGCAAGAAGAAACACCACTCTTCAATCTGCAACCTTCCCATTCCCACCCTCCCAACCTTCGATCCATCGACAGAAAGGAACACCGCTGCAGCAACCATCGATGATGCGCCAACGGCCCTTGCTTGCAAGGCCCCAGAGGGTGTTCTCCTAATGACCATCCAAGCGATCCAATATACAATAGCAATACCAATTTGCAATGGTAAGACAAGACTTTTAAGACAAAATCCTTACTCTAAAGTTAGCTCGATCTTTTGTTAAAAACCGTTTATAAAATTAACCATTCTACGCATTTCTATAAACGTCTTTAGTTTGACATTGTAGTTTATCTAATCTTCTTTATAAACCTTTGTACTCTTGTCTCGTTAACTCTGTAGCTATTTTATAACAAGTGTCTTCATCGCCGTCACATTTCTCATATAAATCGACCAAAATTGCATCAAGTATATCCTAAAATCTTTGCAATAAAGTTGAAGAAGACTCTTTTTACTGGCAGTTTGTATTTGACACACCATGGCAACACATTAACCTAAAGAAAATCGAAATTATTTAAACAGCGACATGTCAAAATCGTATTTATGTAACATTTCTATTTTTATTTAAGATGAAAAGAGGATTTGTTTAACTATGGTAAAGTTTTGAGAGATCCAAAATTCTCTTGGCAAGAAAAGTGAGCAAAGCAATGCTTAAAAGACTGATAATGATGACGGCAGTTAATAGAATGATTACAATCGGATTGTTGTAGGTTAAGACAGTTGTTGCTGGCGTTGGTGTTGTGGGTGACTCTTGTGGCTGTGCGGTTGGTTTGACGGTGAGAGATTGACAAGAGGGAACCTGAAAAAGCGAGATTATTACTTAAATATCTGATTTCAAAGTTCCCTATCAAAACTCGGTCATAGCCGACTGGCTAAGAGATCTGTATCTTAGTTACGAGGTCAAGGATTCAATCTCGCCTAGATTATTAGTTCTTTTACCAACCATTTCCCGGTAGTTGCATTGGCTGATGGTGGAGTCAAAGACGAGAGTATTTGGACAGAAGAATTGAGTCGTTTTGAAGTTCTTGCACATGATGTATCTAAAAATTGTTTAGAGATTTATTTACAAAGTTAGCTAGAGGATTTTTTTAGTCATTAAAGAAAAAAGATCACTTACTCTCTGCTGCATGGAGTTGAGTAGAATCCATTCAATTTCTTAGCACATAGAGCTGTCATATCCCATGTAGGAAGCGATTGTGGTTGTTGAGGCTAAAGAATAGTTTTAAATAAGTAAATTTTTAAAAACGTTAGCCCAATTTTAAGCTAACTTTTATACTTAGAGAAGTTTGAATGCATCTAGAAGTTCGGTTAAGGTCAAGAGTTTGAATAAGACAAGATTGTACTGCTTAGCTAATGGAAACGAAATAGTGTTGCCTTGTACTTTATCCAACAAATGCCTAGCAATAATACTTTAAATTAAGCTTTCAATTTTATCTTTTTCTTTATCTTTACCAACTTTGATTATAAACAGAAAAATCGACAAATGGCCGCGAATTCTAGCGACACTTTTTTTGGAAAAGTTGCTGAGAAACGCCTAACCTATTACCAAAGTGCCAAGTGTTATATAGAAAAATAAAGCTCATCATCTTGGCATCATTTTTCTGCAAAAAACTTTCCGATTGAAATTGTAGAACTTATTTTACCAGCTCTTGAATGAGCTCAAATCGGTTTCTCTTTGGCGATCTGCCAGACACTTTTTGATAGACAATATTTTCATCTAGAAAGATAATCTTTTCATCAAACTTATGGTATTTTACTTTAAAAGTATTATTCAATAAAAATATAATAATGGAAAAGTTTATAAAGCAAGATTTTCTTATCAAATGAATATTCGAAAAAAAGCTCAATTTTCTCTTTTTTGCAGGGTTTCCAGAACCCAGAAATCAATCGAAATTTTGGTATGAAAGTTTAACAAAAGAGTCTTCTATTATTCTTTTTCTTATTAAATGATATTAAATGTTATTTTAAATATTGAGAAACCTTTTTAATAATTTTTTTTATTAAGAAAAATGTCAAAAATGACAGATCGCCGAAGAGAAGCTTGAGTTTGCTTTGCTCGCTGTTTGCTGCTGCTTTGCTGCTATTCTTATTGCTATTAAATGTTATTTTCTCACAAAATAAATATCGAGAAAACTTTTTAACAATTTGTTTATTAAGAAAAGTGTCGAAAGTGGCAGATCGCCCCAGAGAGGCCGACTTGAGCTCATTCAAGAACTTGTAAAATGAGTTCTACAATTTCAATTAAAAAGTTTTTTGCAGAAAAACGAGGCCAAGATGAAGGGCTTTAATTTTCTATACAATACTTTGATAATAAGCCGGGCGTTTGCCAGCAAGTTTTCTAAAAGGTGTCCCTAGAATTCGCAGTGACTTGTACCTGTGGCGGTTGAGTGGTTGGTTGAATTCTCCCACCACACTCGGGCACCCATTGCTTCAGATCACAGCGGAGAGTCTGTGCTGAGAAGAACAAGTTCATTCCTTGGCATTGGTACTAAATGAAGTGATATTGACAAAGAATGCTTGTACCTGAATGGGAGCTTCGGAGATACAAGCCCAATACAAGTTGCTGCATCCTTGAGCATAGTATCCATTAGGTTTCCCTTGACACGAAAACCCTGAATGAAGATCATAATACAAGTTTAGGTATCTGTGACTTTGATGGCCACAAATGAAAGTTACAACGGAAATTTGAAGCCAGTCTTAGGTGAAAGTAAGCCAGTCAATAAATCTTAAGTCCAATCTTAGATCCAATCTTAAATCCAATCTTAAATCCAAATGTTTGAATATTCAGTGAAATCACTAGATCTACATTTTCGGATTAAAAAAATATATACCAATTTTGGTTCTGAGTTTAGTATAATAGATTTAAAGCTATTCAAATAACAATTAAGTTTGAATGATACATGATCGAGCTGGAGATTGAGTTGTGACTTCGGACGTATCGTTCCTGATCGAAGTGGTCGTTTGTCTTCAAATAACAGTTTGCAAACAGTTTACAAATAGTTTACAAACAATTTACAAACAGTACTATGTTTTTTTCTTTTAAATGGTCTTTTACCGCTTTTCTCTTAAACCTTACTCAATCTTCGTGCCGCTTTCTCCTTCTTCTTCCTTTCTTTTGGCTCTCTTGCAAGCTTCTACTTGTTCAATGTCATTACAAGTCTAAAATGCAAGTTATGAACATGAAACAACATGTTTTGTTAGCTTTCTTCTGATTGTTCTTTACCTTATCCTCTTGAATCCAGACATTGTTGTAAGGACATGATTTGCGCACAACTTTTCCGTTTTCACAAAGTCCATAGAATCGAGAACACAGTTCCTGAAAGAGTTTTGGTTAAAACAAAAGAAAATTATTAGAATTTCCAATAGAAATGCAACTTTTGTAAGTTTAAAATAACAATTCAAAAACATTTTCAAGAGCAATGCTTTCAGTTAGAAGTAAGTATTGATAGAAGCGCGAGTATTGATCCTGAAAATGTTTTTAATTTAAAGATAGCCTGAAAGCCTGAAAAATACTGTAAAATATTCAAATTTTCAATAGAAATCCAAATTTATAATAAAAATTACCCCATTTGAAACAAAATCTTTGTCACCATCACAAGCAGGGAGATCACTGAAGTATTTATTAGTAAATTTCATAGTATTTCGTAGTATTTCTTAAAGAATGATTTCAAATGCGTATATAAAAGAGAATAAAAAAAGAGAAAGGGGTAGGCTAGTTTCCGCAACTTTTTTGCCCAATAGGGTCATTTGCGCAACTGGGTCGTTTGCGCAACTCGCCATAACTTGCTTTTAAGTGAGCCAATCTTTATGATTTTGGTTTCATTTTGTAGATCTCAATAAGTGTAACAAAACGAAACCAAAATCATAAAGATTGACGGACTTAGAAAAAAGTTATGACGAGTTGCGCAAATGACCCAGTTGCGCAGCCCTATTGCGCAAAAAAAGTTGCGGAAACTAGCCTACCCCATAAATCTTTATTGTTAGCATTGTTCTAGAATAAAATTTACTCTTTATTGACTTGTAAATGATCTTCTTTTGGTGGATTTACGCAGGCTTCAACTTGAGAATGAGATTTACATTCCAATTGAACAATGTCAAAGTAGAGGTCCTAAAAACGAAAATCAATTGCATTGGCAACTCAGTTTTTCTCCAAATCATTTCTAAAACCTACAATCAAACATTCTTTCTTGATTGAGAGTCCATTTTCACAATGATAATAGGTTGAATTGCAGCCAAAAGAACTGTACATATTCTTGCCATCCTTGCATTCCATAGCTGAAAAATTAAGTAATTTTTCAAGATTTTCAAACAAAAACAAATTTCGAATTCTTTAGTTCTTTAAGCCGGGGAAAGTGTCATTGTTTAAAAGAAGTTTTATATTTCTAGAAGTACACGTAATCATCTTTATCAAATTTCGGTCGGTTCTCATCCCCATCATCTTTACCTTTATCATCTTTTGCGAACCGTATTAGTTCTTGGTGCCCACGCACTTTCCGCCCACGCACTTTTACTTATACAGTGCTGGACAATGAAAGATCATATTTGAAAAAAAGATCGTCACTTTCGCGCGTCTGTAATTCCCTTGTCTTTGAGTTTAAACTATTAGTGTTATACATTTTCTGAAAGCTCTTTTCAAGGGCTACACAATGGTAATATTAATATTTTAAAAATACGGTAAAGACAATGGAGTTACAGACGCGCGAAAGTGACGATCGTTTTTCAAATATCATATTTCATTGTCCAGTAGTGTACCAAGCCCCCTCGATCTTTGGCGCCTTGTGTCCACTCGCAGATCGGTCGAATCGGTTTGTAAGGGTATGAACACGGATTTTAAAGGCAGAGTTTGTAGAAGCTTGGTCGGTGCTTAACCCATTCATGGAAGGGTGCGCCCGTAGCCATTGTGTAGCCCTTGAAAAGAGCTTTCAGAAAATATATAACACTAATAGTTTAAACTCAAAGACAAGGGAGTTACAGACGCGCGAAAGTGACGATCTTTTTTATGATATTTCATTGTCCAGTAGTGTATCTAAAGATCTAAAATAACGAAATCTTTGCTTTTAAATGTTTATGAAATAACTTACAAAGAATGGGCTCATTTAGCAAACGATCATCGCTTGTCGCTGAGCTGAAACCAACCACTAAGCCCAACAACCCGACTTTCAAGAGCATCACTCCTTAAATAAATTCTCTTAAATATTTAAATAATGGAAACTTTTTTTGTTAAATAAAAGATAGATAAACTTAAAAATATTCCACAGCTCAAGTTGAGCCAATGAAAAATGCAAAAATCTTTGCAATCAAATGATTAGATCTGAAAAATGAAATCCTTTTAACCGTTGAGTGCTCTCAAAAGCTTTCATTTTTTTTTGTTTTTCGTTGTTTTAATCAAAAAAAAATTGATTTTAGATGAAAATCTGGTCTTTCTAAGAGAAAAATGTCAAAAGAGCAAGGATTGATTTGGCGCTTAGAGTGCTTAGAGTACTTATAAACTTAAACAAAAGAATTTGAGACTAACTAGAGATGCTTTTTGGATTTACATCTCGGTTTTAAACCGAAATCTAGCAAAACTTGTTCAGTTTTTTTGCGCTGATTCCGATGGTGATCGTTTGGGGATGATGGTTCTAAAATTTTTGAGATATTTAGCTTCAAAGTTTACGTCAAAATTGGGCATCCATGAAACCGCGCACCCACTTGTCATAAAAGTTCTACAGAGGCTTATAAAGATAAGAACGTGGCCTAGTGGATAGTGGCTTAGAGCTTTTGCACTTTTATCCCTGATTCAGATCCAGCTGCCGCTCAACTTTTTGCTCCCCGGTCGGTTTAAGAACCTCACGGTTCCTCCAATGGGGTGCCCAAACTTCATTTAGACGACTGTCGGGTAGCGGACAGCTGACGGAAGCCGGAACCCAAAGGAAGCATAATGTAATCCGGTTACGAGCAACAGACCATTCTGCCTCCCTTCCCTAAGAGAAACATGTCAAAAGAGCAAGAATTGATTTGGCGAAAGGCGATTTTTGTTAAAGAATTAGCAAAAATTTAGTGATTCCATTTATTCCTTTTTTTTCGTGCAGGAAAATATTCATACAAAAATGCATAAAAAATAAGAATACGCAAAGTAAGCAAGACTTTTCAAAAGAATCATTAAATTAGAAAATTGACTAAGAATTTTCTAAAAAGAATCAGATAGAATCAGTTAATATATTTCAAGTCAAAGTTTTCACAATCAATCACTTTCGCAATCTCTATCAAAATCTTCAATTAGATTCCCTTGATAGTCCCACACCCAATAATTGCCTTCCTTTTTTGAATTGACAACCAAATATCTTCGTTCTTCTTCGGGTGTTTCATTCAAAAATTGCCGAAGCTTCTGACCATTCATGTACATCCGTACGTAACATCCGAGCAATGGATGCAAACAGGGAACATTAGGCCCATTGAAATATTCATCAGAAAAATCCAAAAGTGTTATGTATTGAATTGAACGATCACATTCAGAATTGATCACTTGCAGTAAGATTATTGGATCAAAGTTCGATTTGTAATTTGTAATATTTTTGAATTTCCAAATAACTCCATCGACACCACCTAGAAATTTCATCCAATTTGACAAATAATTGTTTTGTCTTTCTGATGAACAAGAATAATAGGGGCTCTCGAGATATCCGTCATCCAAAACTTGTATTTTAATGTCGCATTTTGGATGATGATTGCATTGAATTCTTGGTGGATTAGTCAATTGGAAAAGATATCCATCAATTGGGAGATTCTTTTCAACTTTTTGAGTAATTTTTGAAGTTTGACTTCTTGATAAACAAAAACTTTGTTTCATTGTCAGAGAGAATCGCTTCTGAATTTTCAATTTTATCCTTTCCAATAACTCAATAAATTCCGTCCTCTTAATAATGAAATCATCAAAATAATGCAACTCGTCGCTGACAAAATGGATAACGGATTTGTTCTCAAAAGGCCGTTCAGGATCTGAACGCAAATGTCTGTCAAACGACTTATTCAAAAATTCGTTTCCCAAACAGCGATCAGCGACCAAAATCCATTCCTCGCCTGTTTTTATTGAAAAAAAACATTTGAATTTCAAATTTGAAAATTGAAGGTCCGTTTTCGCTATTTCAATTAATCGATCCAAGCATTTTCCTTCCCAAAATAATAACCAAGGCGAAAATTTTGTCGACTCACTCACTTTCAAATAGTTCCTACCATAACTCCTCAAATGCAACCTAAGAAATGTGACTTTAGAGCTTTGACTTCCAACAACAATCTCTTGAAATATTTGCCTAAGATTCATTTCATCGAACTTTTTCTCAGGGTTAACTTTGTGAAACGAATATTCATGAAAATATTTATAATTTTTGTTTAGTGCATCCACAATAATATTCTCAATTTCGTTGATAAAATCCATTTTTTCGTGATTCGATATCTCATTGAATCTTTTGATAAATTTTTCGTGTAAACCTATCATCCTAGGAGAATAAAATTTTTTAATTAGCTTGTCGGCATGTTCTTCACAAGGTTCAGACCCGAATTCAATAGAAATCGGATTGTTGGAGGTAACAAGAATGAGTTCTCGATTTTTCAAATGATTAAAACCGATTGGTAGAATAAGCTCTTGTTGATTTTTATCGATGGTTGGATAACCATCATTGGAATCATTAAAGTTATTGATCTAAAAGAGACAATTGTTTGAAAACTTTGCTTTAATCTTGCACTAACACTCACCTTCTTAAACTCTTTGAGCTGTTTTAGAATTTCTTCGATATTTGGTCGTTTTGAGCGGGCAAAATCGCAACAACTAAATTTTTGTGTTATAACAAGGTGTTATAAAATAAAAAAAGGCATAACTAACAAGTTGTTAAATGAAACTACAGGGTGTTCCACAATTACTGATACCCCGACCCCTCATGATAAAAGCATTTAAATTGTCCAACGCGAGCGATTTATTGACTGTTTTTGAAGTTTTTCTTGTTTTAAACTTGTTTTCATTTAATAATATTTAAAAAAATTGTCCTTTTTTTAAAAATGGCCAAGCCCTCCAGCTTTCGCGACTTGATCATTTCTTTTCACAAGAAAGGTATTCCGGCACGGTCGATCCGTCAACGACTGGGAGTGACAAAACAACTTGTTTTGCGAACATGCAAACGTTTTAAGTCTCTTGGAACAAATCAGGATCGAAAGGGACGTGGAAGACGTGTAACTTCGGCTGTTAAGACTGTTATCAAGAACGTTCGCGAGAGAATAAGGCGCAACCCGGAGAGAGATCTGTTCGTCAAATGGCTCGTGAAATGAAAGTTCCTGTGACTTCGATGCATCGAATCGTTCGAAAACGCTTAGGAATGAAAGCTTTCAAGAAAAACAAGTGTCACGGAATTACCGATGCTACAAAACTTAAGAGAGAACAGCGTTGTGCTCAACTTCTTGCTCGGTTTCCTGGAAAAGCTCACCGAAGGATTCTTTTCACCGATGAGAAAATTTTTACGGTCCAGCAAGTGTTGAACAAGCAAAACGATCGAATTTACGGCATTTCTAATCCACACAAATCAGTTTCGCATTCTCTTCATCCGACTTCGGTGATGGATCTCCCCTACTTGCGTGCCACGGTCGACGACTTCCCGAAGCGCCTTCAGCTCTGTATCAACGCGAAAGGAGGACATATCCAATAATTGTTGTCTTTCCATTACTTTACTATCTAATTTGTTAAAAATAAAAGTTTCATCACAAGTTTTCTACTAAAAAAAGTTTTTTCAAGCTAGTTATCAGGTATCATTAATTGTGGAACACCCTGTATTTACCTTTCCACAATTTCTCCAATTTCCCGAAAACATTTTGGCGGATCTAATCTCTTTAGTTTTCCAAGAAAAACATCAAGAGTGAAAAGTCCATAATCAAATTTTCCTTCATTTCCATATTCAGCAAAGACTAGTCTAAAATAAAATAAAAAATATTTAACCAATTTTCACCAAATACCTTCTTTCAATGAGTTGCCATATGACCAAACCAAGTGCATAAACATCATTTCGAGATGAGGCCTGAAACTGTGAAATATTATCTTCTTATTAGTTTGATCTTGGCATTCAAATACTTTTCATAGTCTATTTTGTGTACCTTTCTGCTCTGATCCAACAATTCTTCGCTTGTCATGTTTGAATCAAGTTGTGGAGGGTTGCGATATCGAATTGTTCCAACATCAAAAGTTCCAGTACATGTTTGATCAATTTCTCGTGTTGTCCCAAAATCTCCAAGTTTCACAATGAAATCTTTTGTGACAAAAATGCTGAAAGCGAGAATAATAAAAGCAAAACAATTCAATCATTCAATCACGAACTTTTCCGTTTTGATATCACGGTGAATGATCTGTTTTGTTTTAAACATGTAATCCAAGGCATCAAAGAGATTTTCTGACCAAATAGTCACATTTTTCATCGAATAGAGAATAGTGGAATTGAAAATAACTATAAATCGAAATTTTCTGAAAAAAAAAGTCCAAATTTACGTTTTCTCAGTGTCCCCATTTCACAATATTCAGTCAATATCCCAAATTGAAGTCGTTGATATTTTAGAACTTCTTGTCCACCAAATGTTTTGATAATATTTGGATGGTCTAATTTAACCAAAACATCACATTCTTTTTTGAAATCTGCCAAAAGATCATCATATTTCGAAGTGTTCCGTCTGTATTTCAGAGTTTTCACGGCAGTTTGCCTAAATTGAAGACATTAGATCCAAAAAAACAAAAAGTTGATTGTACAAAAAGTACAATCATATTCCAATTTCAAAGCAAGAAAAATTTCGTTCTAAATTTTTCATGGATTTTTTTAAAATTGCAATTTTCTATCATAAAAATGTTTACCTATCTATTGGGTTGGGGAGAATGAGTCGGCGCCAAACTTTAAAGGGACTTTTTGCACACATAAAGCCTTCTTTAAACATACGTTTGGTTTCATCAAAAGGATCCACTATTTCTCTACAAAATGACTTTTGAGAGATTCCACAAAGCTTTTCTTTCGTGGAGTTTATGAACTTCCAAACGCAGCTGGTTAAAATGACAAAGAGTCCGACTCATCATTTGAACAGTTTCTTTCACATAAACCTTCTTTGGTGTTTATATAAAAAAGATAGAGCACATTCAATTACTTAAGTTGCCAAATTTGCAGGAAGATCCCACCAATGGTTTTTTCTAGATGACAGTTTGTAGTTTTTGTGAAAAAATGGCTTTTTCTTGAGCGGAGGCGCTGTTTGAATTTTCTTTTAAATGTCATTTTGTAGAGAATTAGTTAACCATTCTACTCATATCAAACGCATATTATTTGACGAAGTCGAATAGAAGTTTTAGACATTTTTTTCATTTTCGGCGCCGACTCATTCTCCCCAACCCAATATCTCAACTAAATGAACATCACAAAATGATCCTTGACTCAGAAATTCGGCTTTTGATAGATCGATCTCATAGATCTCATCCATTAGCATAATTTTAGCACTATCCGATAGAGAAAAAAATTCTCTACAAATGTATTGGGTTGGTGAATTGAAAACTGCGGGACTTTGGACTAAAATTTATTCTGTACAAATGTATTTTTATGAAAAACGGATGTTTTTCGCCGAACAAAAGTGCTCAAAACTAGTTTGCGGAGCTTTTCGCCAGCGTAGCATACGGCAGGAGGTTAAAACCAACCAAAAACCATTTGGTTTTGTCTTGGCTAGCCAAAGCTTTTGGAACAGCCATTTATTTATTTGTTAAATGCTGGCTGCCTAAGTTTAGTGTTTCAAATTTAACAAGCTATTAGGTTGGCAACTTAATAATGACGCGTCACTACTTAACATGTTTTTTGTAATTTCAAGCGCCGTTTCTTCCCTCTTTTTTGCATATATACAAAGTAAAAGATGTCTACATAAATAACATTCAGTGCTCCAAATTTCATCATTTGCTTTTTGGCAAAAAATGGAGGACAAAAAATTCCGTATTCGAGCTGCATTGTTCTACGATTTTAAACAAGGAAAATCACCAGCTGAATCTCATCGCACGATCATCACTGTTTTTGGGGAGGAAAGTATACACATTCGGCAATGTCAACGATGGTTTCAAAGATTCCAAGGCGGCGATGAAAGCCTCGTAGACGAGCCACACTAAGGACATCCTCCAGAAGTGGTCGACGATGACTTGCTCGCCTTAATTGAAGATTGCCCAACACTCACCGTTCGTGAGTTGGCAGAAATATTTGAAGTGTCCCATACGACAATCAAAAACTATTTACACAAACTTGGGAAAAGAATCGAGTTGGAAAATGGGTTCCTCACGAACTGGCCCAAAGCAACAAAATTTCGCCTCAATTTTGCTACAAAAATGTAAATCAAACGACTTTTTTCACAAGGTTTTGACTTCTGACGAAACGTGGATCAACTACGAGAACGTTAAACGCAAAAATCAATGGCTATCTGCTGGGCAGACCCCTCAAACCACTCCCAAACCTGATATCCATGGGAAGAAGATAATGCTCTGTTGCTGGTGGAACTTCAAGGGATTGGTGCATTATGAAGTGCTGAAACCTGGCCAAATCGTCGATGCTGATCTTTATTCGAAGCAATTAATGAGAGTTAACGAGTCTTTGAAGAAATTGGGGCTCAAACCGGAGAGAGTCAGATTTTTACACGACAACGCAAAACCTCACACTGCAAAGATCACTTATAAGAAAATCGAGGAACTTGGCTGGAAAGTTTTGCCCCGCGCGTCTTATTCACCTGATCTGGCTCCTTCAGATTACTTTTTGTTTCGGTCGCTGAAGCACTTTTGGAGGGAGAAAAGTTCGATGATCATGGTCAGGTCATAAAAGCAGTGAATGACTACTTCGCCTCAAAAACCTCCAAGTTCTTCGAGGATGGGATCCGGGATTTGCGCAGAAGATGGGAAGAAGTCATAGATACTAAGGGAGAATACCTTTCGAATTGAAAGCTCTTCTTTTGTGTTTTTTTGAAATAAATGATTTGTTACATAAACGCGTCATTATTAAGTTGCCAACCTAATAAAAGCAAAATGGAAGTTCAAATATAACTTTTCTTACCTCCCATCTATCTCAACTAAATGAACATCACAAAATGATCCTTGACTCAGAAATTCGGCTTTTGATAAATCGATCTCATAGATCTCATCCATTAGCAAAGGTCTTCAAAGGAACTAAATGATTACTTCAACTTTAAATAAATCAAAAATTTCAAGTAAACAAAAAGACATCAATAACGAGACCCAATAATTAAAAGCTCTGTGAGCGGTTTTTTTAGAGCAAAAGCCTGATTTGACGAGAAGCGATAAGGAATTATTTTCAATTTCCTTTCCAAGTAATATTTTTGTTTACGCCAACACCAAAAATTGCTGAAATCAAAATAGGAATTAGAAGTTGCTCAATTTCTTTTTGCATGAAGAAAATGTCGGTGTAACAAATGATTTGATTCTTTAATTCAATAATAGTAAGGATAATGGTTAGGATAAATATGAGTTTATATGTTGCGTCTGATCCAGGGTTCCGTCTGACCAGGGTTCCGTCTGATCCAGGATTCCGTCTGATCCAGGATTCCGTCTGATCCAGGGTTCCGTCTGATCCAGGATTGATCCCAGATCGGGCGTTCGATCTAGATTAAAATGTAAATTTTTGTAAAATTTATTTTTCTTAACACCTGGACAACCTATAGTTCTGTCCAAATTAGTCATTTTTTAATAAAAGTCCCCACTTGAAGCAGTTTTTGAAGGAAGATTTAGATTACTATTTCGTACTCAATTAGTTCCTTTTTCGTTTTATTTTTCAATCTTCTGTAAATTATTTAAATATCTTTGCTGGATTTTTTCTAGACGAGAGATATCAACTTGTGTATGTGGAAACCAAACTATAGATGCATACTCTAGAATGGGTCTAATCTAATTGACGAAACACTTTCTATAAGTGTCGATTTTCGGATAACAATTTGCTTTTAGGATACGACTAGAGACGAAAAAAACCTTTACGGCATATAATTTCAATATGTTTTGAGAAATTTAAAGGTGGGGAAATATGGACTCCAAGATCTCTGATATAATTCTCTTTGCCAATTCTGTTTAATGGTGCAGAATTAATTTTCAGCGGGAAAATAGCATTTCCGGTGGAGAAATGAAGGGACTTCGTAGACGCTAAAGCTAATTTCCAATTATGGGACCATTTTTCAACCAGATCAATATCTGACATGGCGTCTCTTAAAGAAGCAGGCTTAGCGGCTTCATCTTTGATGGGGATTTTAAAGGTTAGATAACGCGTCATCAGCATAAAGCCAGATAGATGAGTCCCTAGATGAAAAATTTAATTCAGCTAAAGCATTAATGCAAATTGTAAAAAAGTATAGTACCCAGAATACTTCCTTGGGGTACACCGCTAGAGCAATTAAAGGATGGGGAGAGAGAAACGTTTAGAAGAACTTTGGAAGTTCGCTGAGTAAGGAAACTTTCAATAACTGAAATCATCGAGGGGCAGATTTTATATGTATGTATTAGGGTGGTGCAAAAGAAACTGCCGATGGGTATCAGCTCTCATTTATCAGAAACGAGCGATGCTAACGGCATTATTTTTTTTTAAATGTTTTGTTCGCATATTTGTTTGCTATTTATTTCGACATTTGAATTTTTTGGTTGTTGTTTATTTTATTTAAAAATGCTTATTTTTTATTTAGATCATGGTCGAGCAAAAGTTTGTGCTACGAGCAGCATTACTGTTTAACTTCAAAAATGGAAAGTCTGCTGCCGAATAGCATCGTTCTCTCTGTGCTGCTTTCGGAGATGGCAGTTTGTCTCTCAGACAGTGTCAGACTTGGTTTCAACGATTCCGAGAGGGAGACGAGACTTTGGAAGATTACGAGCACGGTTCGAGGCCAGAAGTCGTGAACGAAGCCAAGCTGAGGGACGTTATTCAGGCCGATCCATGCCAAATAAAGGGAAAGATGGGGATGAGAACCGACCGAAATTTGATAAGGATGACTACGTGTACTTCTAGAAATATGAAGCTTCTTTTAAACAATGACACTTTCCCAACTTAAAGAAATAGACAAAACTCTCGATAGAGACCTGTTATTCTAAAAGATTCTTGAAAAGTTTGTTCAAATACTTTTTTTGACTAGTTTTCACACACAAACAAATGTATATTTTCAAATTTTCGCTTAACTAAATGCTTAAATGGCTCGTTTCCGTTCTTAACAATGAATGATTCTGTTTTTTAAATGTAAACTTTATTACACACAACTTTGCCAATATCAATCAGTGACTCTAACTTTGATATTGAAAATTTGAGACATAAAATCAGTTATGATAATAAAATGCTCGCTTGCTTGCTCGCTCGCGTAAATTAGATTAATATAAAAACTAAGAAAACTTTTTAAATCAAGTTTTTATAAAGAGAATTTTAACTTCTAGAGTTCCAAAGCCAAGAATTAGTTTTCTAATGTTTTCTGCAAATTTTCTTATGGAAAATGTTGTCGTCTATGAAAAGGTAAAAAGTTTGCATTTTGCGCGGTCAATCGTTTTGCGTGGTCAATCGTTTTGCGTGGTCAATCGTCTTGTGCGGTCAATCGTTTGGCGCAACCGCGGCCCTTTTTGCGGTGCGAGCAGTTATTAGGTCACCCGCCTCGAAGCCTAATAACAGAACGACATGGCTGAGTGGTTAGTGAAAATTGCTTGCTTTCTTGCTTGCTCGCTTAAATTAGATTAATATAAAAACAAAGAAAAGTTTTTATAAAGAGAATTTTAACTTCTAGAATTCCAAAGCCGAGAATTAGTTTTCTAATGTTTTTGCAAATTTTCGTATGGGAAATGTTGTCGTCTATGAAAACGTAAAAGTGTTTTTCATAAGGAAACAGGATTTTGGTGAAAAAGAGTGAATATCTAGGCGTGGACTCTTGCCGAAACATCGTCACCTCTTTTGAATACTTTTTTTGAATACAGTTTTCAGAACACACAAACAAATGTACATTTTCAAATTTTCTGTTATTTAAATGCTTAAATGGCTCGTTTCCATTCTTAACAATGAATGATTGAGTTTTTTAAATGTAAACTTTATTACACACAACTTTGCCAATATCAATCAGTGACTCTAACTTTGATATTGAAAATTTGAGACATCAAATCAATTATGATAATAACTTTCATCAACAATTGTGCAAGAAATAAATAGAAAATTTATCTCTATTTGCTCGCTTGAATTAGATTAATACAACTAAGAAACTAAGAAATTAATATAGCTAAGATTAATATAAAAACTAAGAAAACGTTTTGACGATATATTTTTGATATATCGTCAAAAGCTGAGCTTCTAGAATTCCAAAGCCAAGAATTAGTTTTCTAATGTTTTCTGCGAAATTTCTTATGGGAAATGCTGTCATCCATGAAAAGGTAAAAATGTTTTTCACAAGGAAACAGGATTTTGGTGAAAAAGAGTGAATATCTAGGCGTGGACTCTTGCCTAAACATCGTCATCTCTTTTGAATAGAACAAACTGGACAGTCGATCGTCAGATTCTATAAAGATTCTATAAAAAGACTCAGTTGGCCATTTTTCTCTATCCTAATGTTTCTAATGCGTTTTCTAAAATCTACCAACTTTTTAGACGCTTTTCAAAGCTGCCGTAATCCTGCCTTTAGTTTTTATGTGTCAACTTTCGTTGAATGCTTTCCCACAGAACTACAGTAAATTGAAACAAAGCTAAAGACAAGACTACGCTAATTTTGAAGAGTATCACAATCTTGCCGTTTTAGAAAACGCATTAAAAAGAAAACTTTTACTCTAAAGTTTAGAAAAGTCGCTTTTGAATGTCGCTAAATCGTCTTTCCATCATTTTTTGTTTAAGCTTCTTGCTGATTATTGCGAGTTTAGGTAAGTAAAATCTGGGCAAAGATTCTCAACAATTTCCCTTTACAATTGACAACTATTATAGATAAAATCGATGCCGCAATCCAAGTGGTCCCTCAATGCAGTAAAGAATGTCAGGTTTGGGCAAAAAAAAATTCTTTAAAATTCTTCAAGATACATCGAAATTTACTCAAAATGATGATTGCTTACCGTAAATACTGTAATAGTACCCCACCCCCCTCGTACAGTCGCGTAGTCGCAAAAGTTTTGTAGTATTTCATTTTTTTTCAAACCGCCCGTACTTTCAAAAAATGCGTCTTTGGTATCAAAAAATAGCCCTGAATTTCAGCTATTTTTTGATACCTAAGCCCGTATTGTAGCATAAACCAGTGTCGAGAAAAACTCGTTCAAAGCTAGACTACGCAACGCTCCGCACCGTCATTATGGGGGTGGGGTACTATTACAGTATTTACGGTAAGTCTTTCCAAAACTAAATCCAATCTTTTACAGCGTGAAGATGGAGATGTGAAAGGAAAACACATTGATGCTTGCTGTCAAAGCAATGGATATCGACGTGGATGGTGTGATGCTGTCACAAAAATATACGCAATGTGTTGGAGGGAAAAATAAAGAAGAAGAAAAGAATTAGATCGTTTTTTGAATAAAGATACTTTCTTTTTCGTGAATTTTAACATAAGATTTATGTTGAGTAAAGAAAGATTTGGAAAGAAAACAAATAGACCGTTCGGTTCCATAACAAACTCATAAAAAGTGAGATTTCTTACAAAAATACAGACTTCTTAATTGTCAAGAACAGAAGTGACCAAGAGTTGACGAACAACAAGAATAGTGTATTTCTTTTGGATAAAAATCTTCCCTAATTCCTTACAAGGACTAGAGAGTGGCCCACAATTAAAGCGTCGCACTTCAGAGAGCCTAGATTGCCCAAAATTTGATCAATCGTTTTGCGTGGTCAATCTTTTTGCGCGGTCAATTGTTTTGCGCGGTCAATCGTTTTGCCCGGTCAATCATTTTCACAACGTCGCAACCACGGCCCTTTTTGGCGGTGCGAACAGTTATTAAGGCACCCGCATCAGAGGCTGATAACGAAACGGCATAGCCGAGTGGTTAGCGCGCCCGTCTCTAAGGCTACCACCGGGGTGAAAGGCTCGGGTTCGACTCTTGAGCCAGTTCTTTCAAATTTTCGAATGTTTTTATGGAAACACACCAAGATTCGGCTTGGTAGAAGGCCTTGGGTGATAAACCAACGTTGAGCCACTGATAAGAGCCGCCGTGAGGCGGCTCTTTAAATTTAGCCGATTTCCCCGAAATTTTTTTGGCTCAATTTTTACCTTCGATTTCGTTGTATTTCCGCTAGAAATTCTCAAGTTTAAACTCTAAACAAATGACGCTTAAGCCTTATAAAAAAACTCTTTATCAAACTCTGACATTGAGTTGAATAGAAGATCTCGTTGACAACTAAAGACTGATCCTTTGCTCTTTTATTTCCCTCTTCAAAATCTCGTCTCCTTTCTTGTGAGTGTTGCAGAAAAAAACAAGTTTCTTTTCAATGGCAACCTCTTCACTTTTCCTCTCTTTATCCATTAAGAGACTCTCGGATCTTTTCGATGTTCCGGTGACAAAAAAAGGCAATGAACTCTGGATGAAAGCCTTGTACAACTCGCAAAATATCATTTTATGCAAATGTTCCGCTTATTGCTTTGCTATTTTTCGATTTTAAATATTCTTGATGCTCGTGAATCACTTCTAAACGAAATTTTGCCATTATCTGAAGCCCTTCGACCACCTCATTATATAGGACCAGTGGTAATATCCAATTTTGAAACATTATTTTCATTTGAATATATTTAGAACAATAAGCATCCGTTTGAAACTGACGCAAATAATCAATATTTGAATTTTTATGCTAAATTTACATTCAAATTTTGTTATTGCAATGAGTTTTCATTTAGTTAAGAAATGCCACCGGTTTTAACGCAATTCTCATCTCAAAAACGATGTCACAAACAACACTTCTAACACTTTGTGATTTGCTTAGACAACAAAGAGGACTTCCACAGAAGAATCTTGAAATTGGAAAGAATAGAAAGTAAGGGAAAGGTTTAGAACGATGAGTTAAATTTCTTAATTCCGGAGCTAGAAATTGGAAAAGTTAAAAAGTAAGGGTGATGGTCAGAATGATGAGTTAAAGTACTTAATTCTAAATCTAGAAGTTAGAAAGAATAGAAAGTAAGGGAAATGTTTAGAATGATGGTTAAAGTACTTAATTCTGGATCTAGAAGTTGAAAAGAATAGAAAGTAAGGGAAAGGTTTAGAATAATGAGTTAATTTACTTAATTTTAGCCTTTGTATGAAGCAAAATTGGTATCATCAAGTCCCATCAAAAAATCTCAAATGGATAATCAACGGAAATAGTCCAGCGTTGATCGTCGTTCGAGATCCGATTGAGAGATTTGTTTCAATGTATGCATATCTGTGCAAGTGAGTGTTTCGATCAAATGATAGAGTTCATTTAAAACTCTATCTAGAGAGAAACACCTTTGTCCAAGAAAAATGAGCATTCATCGATTTGCAAAATGGACAAATCAGTTATTGTTTGAAATGGTGATGAATGAGAAAGATAGATACAACGCTGTTCTTGGACATATCCAGCCATCATTTTGGTTTCCTTTTCCCCTTTTCTCTAGCAAAAATCACGTTTTTTAAGGTTCACTTACGAAAATGGAGAGTCTTTGCCTGATGGCAATGTGGATTTCGTTTTTCAGTCATCGGATCGAAAAACGACCGCCAAACAATTTGAGAAGATTTTTGTGAAGAGAGGTGTACCGCCTAGTGTAGCGCAACGGGTAAACAATTTGATGGAATTCATTTGAAGTGTACATTGATTAGAAAATGTACATATAGATTGAGTGAAAAGAGTTTTGTAATGTTTTCTAGGTAACCGACCGCATTCGAAAGCGCTTTATCAACTCGAAACGGGGAAAGCGCGGTCAAAGGAATGCAATCAAAATATGGACTTCTCAAGTATTAAACAATTACAAGAAACACTTATATTTTTAGGTATTGGAAAGAAAAGAGACTTTGATTTATGTCTTGAGAAATTATTATAATGATTATCGATTGTTGAAGTTGGAGTTGAAGCCACAATTGCTTGCTGCTTTGCAAAGACATCGGATAAAATTACCTGATCAACTAATGCCAACAATCGATGGTGGAGCTGTTTTAGAGGTTTGAAATCTACAAAAACATGGCAATAATTGTACAAAATGTCGATTTGGTTTTTAGGATGATTGCATGGGTTCCCGTTTGAGTGCAGCGCCCGAAAAGTCGATACCGAGATACTATTGTGATCTCTGAATTGATTTTGAATTTAATCTAATTATTGTAGTTATGAAATTCTTAATATTTCTTTTATATAAATTGATTAAAGCAAACAAGTGGAAAGAAATGAATTAACAATCTTGTAGTAATTATTTTGGTCTGATAATCGATTCTTGTTGCCTTGCCTAGCCTTACTTGAAAGTTACAATAAAAACTTATATTTTTAGGTATTGAAAAGAAAAGAGACTTTGATTTATGTCTTGGGGAATTATTATAATGATTATCGATTGTTGAAGTTGGAGTTGAAGCCACAATTGCTTGCTGCTTTGCAAAGGCATCAGATCAAATTACCTGATCAACTAATGCCAACAATCAATGCTGGAGCTGTTTTAGAGGTTTGAAATTTACAAAAACATGGTAATCCTTTCAAATTGCTCTACAATACTTGTACAAAATAACGATTTTGTTTTCAGGATGATTGCATGGGTTCCCGTTTGACTGCAGCGCCAGAAAAGTCGATACCAAGATACTATTGTGATCTCTGAATTGTTTTTGGTTCATTTATCCATAAAAAAAATATCAGACAATAGAAAAATTACAAGACATTAAAAGTATTATCGATTTTAAATAGACCGAAACGGACTGAAATCTTTGGTAGATTGCCAATCGATTCTCAAACTCGTGGGTAGAAATGCTCATCTTTCTCACCTGGGAGTCATTTTCAGAACAAAAGAAGAATTCCTATGTAAATGACTGGCGAGGTGTTCTTTTGTGAGGCTGCGTAATCGCTCTCCATCTGGCAAACGACTCTGGTATGGGAAGCCTCCCTTTTGGATCTTGTAAAGGGGACAGAGCGACTGAGTTGGCTTGGTTGCTTTCGGCTCAAATGCCTCGGATCTATTGGGTTGGTGAATTGAAAATTGCGGGACTTTGAACTAAAATTTATTCAACATAAAACCACCAATTCATTCCAAATAATTCCCATTATTATTGACGACTTCTGCCCATTTTACAGGCAATTTGCGGATTCCTCTTTCGTAGTAGAATTTTGGTTTGTGTGTGAGACAAGTGTGAGACTCAAAAATGGAGGACTGGAGAAGTTTGAGCACTTTCTTCAAAAGAAACCCATTTTTGTGTCAATAGAAAAGTTGTAGAGAATCAAAAATGAGGCTTATAGCCAAATTTCCAAAAAGATACACTTAGTAGTTTCGCTTAAAATGCAAGTTTTGTTGCAAGTTTTGTGAAAATTCGTAAATTTGGCATTTCTTGAAAACCAGTTTTTGAATCGTTCTGAAAATTTGGATATAAGCTTGATTTTTGATTCTCTACAACTTTTCCATTGACACCAAAATGGGTTTCTTTTGAAGAAAGTGCTCAAACTGTCACATATGACAATAGCCCGCATTTTTCAATTCACCAACCCCATATTTTTGCCTTAAATTTGGCTGCCCTCATCCAATTAACAAAATCGCCTTTCAGGCAATTTTTAGAAAGCCTCAACAGGCGAGAAGATATCGAGTCAAAGCATTGAGCTATGTAATAGCTTATATGATTTGGAATTTCAACTTTACTTGAATGCTATTACCTTTTTAATGACTAACCGAATTACAGTACCGAAATTTATTCATGAGCAAACTCAACCCATCAACTCTATTTCATTTCGAATCTCCGAAATGCTTCCGAAAGCTTTTTTAGCGTCGTTCGTCACATCAATTTTGTGATAAGATAACGAGTTTATAAGCTTATAAAAAGTCGAGAAAAACGAGAGTTGCAAAGTCGCACAAATCATTGAAATTCGATTGGACTTTCTCCTCAATGATGCTTCGATTCTTGATTGGTCAGCTGATAAACTTGTTTTTCTAAAAATCTACTAAATATCTAAATTTGTTAGTTGGTTTTAAAATAAACTTCTTAACAATATTTAACAGAATCAATCATTTTCAGGATTTCTCTTCCTTGTCACCGTTTCAGCTAATTGCAATGCGAATTCGTTGGCGATTCTCAATCATTGCTACTCTAACTTTCTCAGCTTTTATGGTTTCAACTTTCAAGGTGAATTCTTGAAACTTAATATTGAATTTTAACAATCAGAATACAAGAAATTCTATTCAGGTACTCTTCCAGCTTATTGGGAAATGCACGAAGCACGAGGTCGAGTCATTCGAAATCAAGGAATTACAATTCAACCGAAAATCTGCAAGTGAGAAAAACATACCGTAAATACTGTAATAGTACCCCACCCGCATAACGACGGTGCGGAGTGTTACGTAGTCTAGCTTTGAACGAGTTTTTCTCGACACTGGTTTATGCTACAATGCGCGCTTAGGTATCAAAAAATAACCCTGAATTTCAGCTATTTTTTGATACCAAAGACGCATTTTTTGAAAGTACGGGTGCTTTGAAAAAAATGAAACACTAAAAAAACTTTTGCGACTACGCGACTGTACGAGGGCGGGTGGGGTACTATTACAGTATTTACGGTAAATGTTTCTTAAGCTTAAAAGCATTTAGTATTTAGTACTTATATTAAGCCGATAAGCCTAATGACGGGTTTTTCTGGATGTTTTGAAGATGAACGGGTTTTGTCGCTGTGGCACCATGAATAGCGCGCCGGTCTCCCGCTCACACAAGCCAAGTTCGACCCTCGCATGCGACTTTAATTTTGCTTTTTCAAAAATCCAAATGCACGCACAACTACATTGGAATTCCCTATTCAAGGGCGGAAAATTCATGGAAAATGATCCTCTGAGGGTTGAGGAATAGCGCGCACAGACAGACAGAAAGACAAATGTCCCCTTTATATATAGTATTAGGTTGTTCGGAACTAAACGAGCGTTTGCACTGCTTAACTCGCGAGGAAGCCATTTCGCGCATCATATCGTATTTCCAATGGCATGGAGATGCTCATCAATAGTAGAATTTGAACATAGAAACTGTTGAGCAAGTTCACGCGTTGTTTGACATGAATGCGATTCGATTGTAGCCCTTAAAATAACGTTGTCTACCGCTTGAGGTCGACCAGAGTGTTCATCATCCTCGAGACTTTCATCACCATTCCGAAAGCGTTGGAACCAGGCTCGGCATCGGCTTTCGGACAAAACATCATTCCTAAATGCTTTGACCAAATCTCAATGGGATTCCGCTACTGTTTTGCCCAGTTTGAAGTCGCAAAGTAGGCGAACTTGATATTTGAAGTCGGCCATCTAAAGCTGAAGTCGTAGAGTAGGCAGAGGCGAACTTGATATTTGAAGTCGGCCATCTAAAGCTGAAGTCGTAGAGTAGGCAGAGGCGAACTTGATATTTGAAGTCGGCCATCTAAAGCTGAAGTCGTAGAGTAGGCAGAGGCGAACTTGATATTTGAAGTCGGCCATCTAAAGCTGAAGTCGTAGAGTAGGCAGAGGCGAACTTGATATTTGAAGTCGGCCATCTAAAGCTGAAGTCGTAGAGTAGGCACACGCGAACTTGATATTTGAAGTCGGCCATCTAAAGCTGAAGTCGTAGAGTAGGCAGAGGCGAACTTGATATTTGAAGTCGGCCATCTAAAGCTGAAGTCGTAGAGTAGGCAGAGGCGAACTTGATATTTGAAGTCGGCCATCTAAAGCTGAAGTCGTAGAGTAGGCAGAGGCGAACTTGATATTTGAAGTCGGTCATCTAGAGCTGAAGTCGTAGAGTAGGCAGACGCGAACTTGATATATTTGAAGTCAGTCATTTAAAGGAAGAAAAAAGATCTTAAAAATAAGAAATTATTCGTTTAAAAAGATTCCAAATATGCACAAGATAACGTACTTTTAAATACAGAAAGACATGTTTTAAAAGAGGCTTTAAAAGCTTCTCTCACAACAATAACTTTAGCAACGCTTGTTTATATCCGAACAATCTAATAAATACTAGTTTATGATTGTTTTTTTTTGCAAAAAATCATTTCTAGTGTAGCCACTTCACTTTATGATTGCACAAGTGGGACACATTTCGATTACACTTGCTTGATGAGTATGGGAGTAAACGCCTCAGGTTTGATCACTAGATAAAGTAGAATCTAATTTACAAAAAGAACTTTAATCAAATTGTACTTAACAATTTCTATATCACCTTACAGATGCTCAAGATTACTTCACAGATCGGGCAGTTGGCGAATATCAATGCACTACCGGATATTCAAGTACTGTTTAGCTGTATTGGATTGAGGAAAAGTCTTTTTTTCCTTTTCGTACTTTTGCTTAAACTTAACTGTTTAACAACTTTCAGCGCTAATGTCTCAATGGGCTTGTATGGGTGATGTTCGAGATTCTGGACGGCCAGAGTTGCAGGTAAACTAAAGATTAAGCAAGCTAGTTGAACATAAGTTTCTTTTTAATCAAACAATAAACTAGCAAAATTAGTAAAATCTAATCTACTTATTTACCTTATCTTTTTTCTTTAACGATTACTCAGGCTTGTACCGATGCATTGAACGCAGCGATTGCTAAAGGTGGAAACGTTTGCCCGTAAGTTTTATTGAATAAAGTTATTCAGTTAACCTTGAGTTAATTCAAAACCTAAATAACAATTCAATTCTAGTGCTGTCAACGTCTATCTTACTTGCCAATCACCATACTATGAGGCAGCATGTGGCTATAATGCTGGAGTATTCATTTGTGGGTCGAATCGAGCCGGAGTTGTGAGTGATAAAACAATACTTAAAATATGATAAACTTAGATTAACAAGTAATCAGATTATCTAGTTCTCGATGAATTTCAGCTTTCCAACAATGAAGTTTGTCAATGGTTGGGAGTCCTCGATGAGTGTCCTCCTTACAAATAAAGACTAATAAACTTTTTATCAACTACACCAGATTTATCTTTCTATGTGCCTATACGATGTGAAGACGCTTTCACCATTCCTAAAAACAACCATACAAATGTATTGAAAGTTAGTAATTATACCATAAAATAAAACCTAAACTTTCGGTTAGGGTTTAATCTTAGACGATCGCACACTTTCTTGACATTAGCCGGAGTAACCGCTGTTCGTTTTGCACCTCTTCCAGGGCGATCAGAAACTGTGCCCAGAGTTTCATAACGTTGAATGGTTTGACAAACGAGGCTTCTGGGGACATTCAGGCACTTTGAGATCCCGCTCGCCGACCGCCGCTTGAGCTCAAGGATCGATTGTCGAGGGGAGACGCTTTCACCATTCCTGAAAACAACCAAACAACCGTATTGAAAGTTAGTAATCATACCATAAAATAAGAAAAAATACACCAAAACCATAAAAACAGGTAAGCAAAAAGTGATTTAACATATAACCGATTCAACATATAACCGATTGGTTAGGGTTTAATCTTAGACGATCGCACACTTTCTTGACATTAGCCGGAGTAGCCGCTGTTCGTTTTGCACCTCTTCCAGGGCGATCAGAAACTGTGCCCAGAGTTTCATAACGTTGAATGGTTTGACAAACGAGGCTTCTGGGGACATTCAGGCGCTTTGAGAGCTCGCTCGCCTGAACACGCTGCCGCTTGAGCTCAAGGATCGATTGTGGATGTGGAGACGCTTTCACCATTCCTGAAAATAACCATACTAATGTATTGAAAGTTAGTAATCATACCATAAAATAAGAAAAAAATACACAAAAACCACCAAAACAGAAGCAAAAAGTGAAATGGGGCTCATAACATAATACGACGTTGTTGCGGTAATTCTTGGTCACCCTGTAGAAGGAAAATTGTCAGTCAGCTTTGTTAAGCCTTCAAAAAACTCTTTATCTTCTCTATTCTTGAAAGTTTGTCAATGGTTGGGGTCCTCGAGTGTCCCCTACATAGACTAATAAACTTTTACCCCCTGTAGCCTTCAAAAAACTCTTTATCTTCTCTATTCTCGAATTAAATATTAATATAAGATCTCTAGATTGTCAACGAATTGATCTTTAGACCAATTGCCAACGAATTGATTCTTTAGATCTCAATTGATTCCATTCGCTTCATCAAAATCAATCTCATCTCTTTCTTTCAATGGCAATCTTTTCACTTTTCTGTTTTTCTTTCTTTTTGCAATCCTTCACAAGAACAATGGATACAATCCATTCAAAAAACTGAAATGAAATTAGAAATGAAAGAGCTCTCTTGTACAGAAAACGTCTCATTTGATGCAAATGTTCCGATGTTTCCTTTACTATTTTATTCTGAATTTTCTTAATGCTCAAAGAGTACTATTGAACAAAATCTTGCCATTATCTGAGCCACTTCGACCATCGAACAATATAAGAAACTTGGTAAGAGAAATATATTGACTATTGGATCATTAAAACAAAAACTAGCTTATCCTTTAGCTGTATTTAACTTTAAACCTGGCTTCTGGATTGAACTAGGTCATCGAGTCAATGAAAATCCTAAACAATGCTCAAATTACTATTTTTGTACTTTCGTCCAAAGTCTCAAACTACTGTAAACAAATATTTCAGTAAGGAAAAGTTATTCAGTTAACGAGTGCTATTAAAGCAGCCTCGTAAAGCAGTTCATTTCCCGTTTAGTCTATTGTTTAGTCTGTAAAGTAATCTGTAAAGTAAGTCTGTAAAGTAACCTTAAACCATTCCATTTTTGATTATTGTTCTCTCTTTTCATTGTTTTTATCTATTTAGTTAAATTACACAAGTTTGAGATAACTTGACAATTCCTACAACTGGAATTCTAAGCATTCTAATTACTCTAAGCACTTGTAGAGGATTTGCATTGACACTCAAATGCACTCCCGCAAGATTTACATTGACTCGATGACCTAGCTCAATCCAGATTAAGTCAGGTTTGAGATAACTTGACAATCTCTACAACTAGAATTCTAAGCATTCTAATTACTCTAAGCACTTGCTCTACTCATTTGATTGAAGCCTATTCAATTTGTTTGCTCAAATGCTCAAACAATTACCTATTATAATCTTTGTTTGTTTATTGTAATGGTAAATTCGAAAAGCTGCCTTGCTCAGTTCAAGAGATTTAGGTATCTACTTTAATTGACTCTATGGTTCATTTGTTATGGATATAAGTATCGATTTTAAACTGCATTTTAACGTTTTCAATTTATTCTTTAGTTAAGAAATGCTGCCGGTTTCAATACAGTGATCATCTCAAAAACGATGTCACAAACAACACTTCTAACTCTTTGTGATTTGCTTAGACAACAAAGAGGACTTCCACAGAAGAATCTTGAAATTGGAAAGAATAGAAAGTAAGTAAAAAGTAAGTAAAAAAAGGGTGAGAATGAGTTAAAGTACTTCATTCTAAATCTAGAAGTTGAAAAGAATAGAAAGCAAGGGAAATGTTTAGAACAATGAGTTAAATTTCTTAATTCCGGAGCTAGAAATTGGAAAAGATAAAAAGTAAGGGTAATGGTTAGAATGATGAGTTAAAGTACTTAATTCTAAATCTAGAAGTTGAAAAGAATAGAAAGCAAGGGAAATGTTTGGAACGCTGAGTTAAAGTCCTTAATTCTAATCTAGAAATTGAAAAGATAAAAAGTAAGGGTGATGTTCAGAACGATGAGTTAATTTACTTAATTTTAGCCTTTGTATGAAGCAAAATTGGTATCATCAAGTCCCATCAAAAAATCTCAAATGGATAATCAACGGAAATAGTCCAGCGTTGATCGTTGTTCGAGATCCGATTGAGAGATTTGTTTCAATGTATGCATATCTGTGCAAGTGAGTTTTTCGATCAAATGATAGAGTTCATTTAAAACTCTATCTAGAGAGAAATACCTATGCCCGGCTAGAATGAATATTCATCGTTTTGCAAAGTGGACAAATCGATTATTGTTGAAAGTGGATGAGAATGATGAATACAATGCTGTCCTAGGGCATATCCAGCCATCATTTTGGTTTGTTTCTGTTTAAGAACAAAATTGTACAAGTGAAATCACAGAGAAAGCTTTCAAATTGTTAAAAATTGTAAGCTTTTCATTAAATAGTTGAATATTAGTCAATTTTTATATCTAAATATGTTAAAAGAGAAAAATTCAAGGGAAATTACAGTTAGTTTTAAAGATTTCTGTAATTTTTGATCAATTTTTGATGAACAAGCTAATAAATCGTTCTGAGAAAATCCGATTTCTCCACGTTTTCCCTAGCAAAAAGCTTTTTAAGGTTCGCTTACGAAAATGGAGAGTCTTTGCCTGATGGCAATGTGGATTTCGTTTTTCAATCATCGGATCGAAAAACGACCGCCAAACAATTTGAGAAGATTTTTGTGAAGAGAGGTGTACCGCCTAGTGTAGCGCAACGGGTAAACAATTTGATGGAATTCATTTGAAGTGTACATTGATTAGAAAATGTACATATAGATTGAGTGAAAAGAGTTTTGTAATGTTTTCTAGGTAACCGACCGCATTCGAAAGCGCTTTATCAACTCGAAACGGGGAAAGCGCGGTCAAAGGAATGCAATCGAAATATGGACTTCTCAAGTATTAAACAATTACAAGAAACACTTATATTTTTAGGTATTGGAAAGAAAAGAGACTTTGATTTATGTCTTGAGAAATTATTACAATGATTATCGATTGTTGAAGCTGGAGTTGAAGCCACAATTGCTTGCTGCTTTGCAAAGACATCGGATAAAATTACCTGATCAACTAATGCCAACAATCAATGGTGGAGCTGTTTTAGAGGTTTGAGATTTACAAAAACATCGTCAATACTTTCAAATTGCTCTACAATACTTCTACAAAATATCGATTTGGTTTTCAGGATGATTGCATGGGTTCCCGTTTGAGCGCAGCGCCCGAAAAGTCGATACCAAGATACTATTGTGATCTCTGAATTGTTTTTGAATTTAATCTAATCATTGTAGTTATGAAATACTTCTTTTATATGAATTGATTAAAGCAAACAAGTAGAAAGAAATGAATTAACAATCTTGTAGTAATTATTTTGTCTGATTATCGATTCTTGTTGCCTTGTCTTGCCTAGTCTTGCCTAGCCTTGCCTTGCCTTGCCTTGCTTTGTCTTGCCTTGCCTAGCCTTGCCTTGCTTTTAATCTTGCCAAATTCCCAGCAATTATTCTGTCTAACTCTCGATTATCCTCGAACATCTAAAACTAAATTTTTATGTTTAAATTCTTTCAAACACAATTTTCAAATGATAAATGATCTTCTATCTTTTATCAACAGAATTCAAATCACTCCAACGATGAATAAATAAGGAGCAATAGAGATAAATAGATATTTTGCTTAAAAATTGTTTTTTAAGTATTTATTAAAGAAATGAATGTAAATTTTTGAATTAAAGCAAAACAAGAAACAAAAATGTAAATAACTTTGTCAATCTAATCTTCTCACTTGTTTTTGTTGTCATTTACTAAGCTAATCTTTTTCAAGGAAAGGTTCTTTCGTTTTAGAAATTCCAGTCACCTCCAATAAATTTGTATAACTCTTTTCCAATAAGAACTGCCAGAATTTGGAATCGACTCGAGCTTTGAGAGAGTCCAATAGTCTCGAAACCTTTAAATTATCTGTAGATGATCTTGATCTTGAAGCTCTAGTGGATTCTTGACGTTATTCTTGACGACGTTATTCTTGACGGATTCTTGTGCTACCCATATATTACATATACAGTCGAATCGAATATTTGACGTGATCAGTCGCCAGAGACAGACAACAAAATATTAAACTGTTATTGCTATAAATAAACCTTGTTATCTTAAAAATTGAACAAAAATGCAACGACGACACCAAAATTTGGGGTGCACCCCCAAATTTTGGCCATAGGCCAGCCGGGTGGCCTATGGTTTTGCACCGGGTGAATTTTCGTTTTTTGGCTGTTACATTTTCCCTATTCATGCTATGTCGACGATTTTTCGGGTTTAAGGGCTATTTTTGGTCCTGAATCTAAATACGTTTTCAGTTTTTTGTCACTGGCACGCGAGCCGCCGAAAATTGAAATTGACGGGGGTGGCGTATGGTTTTGCACCGCACTGTATTATATCGTGTTGCTTTTTATCGGCCCTTTTCGTGTTATGTGTATGAATTCATGTGTTTTAATCTTAAATCTAGCGCGCTTTATCTCAGGTCTTGAATAAAGTATCTACCGTAAATACTGTAATAACCCCACCCCCATAATGACGGTGTGGAGTGTTGCGTAGTCGAGCTTTGAACGAGTTTTTCTCGACACTGGTTTATGCTACAATGAGCGCTTAGGTATCAAAAAATAGCCCTGAATTTCAGGGCAATTTTTTGATACCAAAGACGCATTTTTTGAAAGTACGGGTGCTTTGAAAAACATGAAATACTAAAAAACTTTTGCGACTACGCGACTGTACGAGGGGGGTGAGGTGGGGTACTATTACAGTATTTACGGTATATAAGCTGTCAATAAAAAGCAATATCTTTTTTATATGTATATCCACAAGAAAACGTTAAAAATTTAAATTTTAGACAAATCATTTGATAATTTTAATACTTCAGTCATTATTTTTTCAGTTATTTATTAATAAAGTAATAAAGTAGATTTCCGATTCACTTCTAAACTGAAATCAATCTCTGAAATTTTCTCATTTACATCTAAAGATGAATAATTACTTTAAGAATCAAATAAATTTCACGAGTCAGCGTAAAAAGTGTGTAAGTATTTTTGGGGGAGTAAAAATCTCTAACTTTTCCCCCAAAAATTCTTTTCCCATTCTCTTTCACTCGGGTCAACAGCTGCTGATCGTAAACGAAATAGGCTGCACGAAAGATTGAGATGAAAATCCTCACAAAAGATATCTCAATACTTTAGAAATTGGTACTCTTAGCCTATAAATTGGTTTATTACCCGAAAAGGTCAACACTTGTACTTGTCAACACTTAGATTAGTGCTCACTGATTCATTTCTACAAAGCATAACTGTTATATTGTGAATCAAGAGTTGAAATAGTTTCGCAAAGTAGCGAAAACTTTTTAGAAAAGTAGGAAATGTTTAATTTATTTTAAAAGTGGCAAGTGTTAGGTAGAGAATTATAGCTCTAATTCTAATATTTATCTATCAAAAACTTTTTGATTAGACTTATATAATTTTAACAAGCGCTTGAATAAGCGCTTGACAAAGGAAAAGGCAAGACAATACTAGACAAGACAAGGCTAGGCAAGACAAGGCTAGGCAAGACAAGGCAAGACAAGACTAGACAAGGCTAGACAAGGCTAGGAAAAGCTAGGCAAGGCTAGACAAGAGATTGACATCTCTCAGGCAAATCTGTTATTTGACCGCTTTTCTATTTTAAAAGATTTCATTTGGAAAAGTTTTTAAGTGAAATTTTTCAGAGAATGATGTTGCCTGGCTTTGCTTCTTTTCCATTGATCTTTTTAGAATAAACTGGTCAAAGCCAAGGCTAGGAATGCTCTTTCAGCCACTAGCACATCCAAATTTGCCATTGAATACCTTCTAAATAAATTCAAGTAATTGTTTTTTTGTATTTATTGCAAAAAAATAGTTTCCTTGTTCGAATAAATTGAGAACAGATATGCCAAAGATTGCGTAATCATTGTCGGGTTTTACTTAGGGCCAATCAACCAAAAGGAAACCGACACTCAACTCTTGTCGGTCGATCTCTTATACACTCAATTCACTAATCCTCACCTTTTGGGTATCGATAACTTCAAATAGCTAAGTAAACTATGCAATACTTGTTAGGTCAAAGGCACTTGAAAGTTTAGAAAGAATATGGTTAACTCAGAAATGTTAGAGCTTTGTTTTGAAAGTTTCTAGATTCATAAAAATTTGAGTACTAGCAAGATTTAGAAGTAAAAACTCAAGGAATTTAATTTAATTTAATTGTTTCAGATTTAAATATGATTCTAAAGCAACAGCACAGTTTAACAGCTATAATTGACTTGTTAACTTTGCATTTTAAGTGCCCATTCCATTCTTTATTAGCTTGCCAAAGTGAATCTGTTAGTTAAACTGATTTCTCGAGTTTCACTCTTAAAAGAGATTATTCACTGTCATTTCACAACATCTGATCTCTTTCAAATCAATGAGTAACACCGGAAATTGGCTTTCCCCTTCCGGAAAATGCTAAAGAATCTTTAGTGAACCTATGGATCGATAGAGATGCCAGAAAAAAAGATTGACAAGAGAAATTCGAGAAAAAGAGTACTGGTACTTTTGTCTCTTTCCTTTTTATGCTCAACTTCGGCCTCTGAGCGTCAGACTTAAAGCATTGAGTCTCTTTTTCTCTCCTCTTCAACAATTTCCCTTTTCTTTGTTTGTCTATTGTTGATCTCAATCTTGTTCTCTACAATGTCTCTACAATGTCTCTACAATGTCGCTACTATGTCTCTACAATTTCTCTACAATGACTTCTGCACACCCAGTCTCTTATTGTTATTGCCGATCTTTAAATCTCAAAGATTTCTTACCTTTTCTAACCTTTCTAACCTTTCCTATCTTTTCTACCATTGCTACTTTCTTCCTCTAAAGCTTTATCTTCTCCCATTGATCTCCTTTCTTTGATCAGCTTAAGGGAAAAGAAAGTAATGGATCTGAGCCCGAGAGAAGGAAAAGGAGGAAACGCCAACTGTGCCCCCATCGCTCAGATCCGCTCAAAGCACTTCAATCCTTTCCCTTTGGGGCACCGGAATGGCCTTTCGATTGTGATCGGCAGCTTTCTTTTCTTTCATTTCTTTCTTTTCTTCTGAGTCGGACTCACCTTTAGAGAAAAGATGGCATTTGGCAAAAGATGACTTCCTTTCTTTTCATCCAAGATTCAATTACCCGCAAAAAAAAGTGAGTGAAGAGTGAGGGAAAACAGGAATGGCCTTTCGATTGTGATCGGCAGTTACCGTATTTTCTCTAATAGTAGTGCACTCCGTCGAGCCGAGTTCAGGACTATTTTACGGTTTCCAAGTCTTCCCAGAAGCTCAACACTCAAATCCCCCGCAAGACCTCATCGTCAGCTACATTTTCCGACCCCACATCGATAGGTTCTGATAAGCGGTTTTCGAGATTTCGAGCAATTTAGGCGACGCTCAGGGTGCACTACTATTAGAGAAAATACGGTATTTCTTATTTCGAGATATCTGATCTCACTTGAACTATTATCAAGAAAAAATTATTAATTTCAAAGTATTGAATCAAAACTTTAAAATTTATGGGTTTAAATTTCAATTATTCTTTGTATTAATGAGCGATTGAAGTCTAAATAAAGGTCTGATAGCTGATATTCAAGGTAATTCGTACAATAGTACAAATAAGTACTCTAAAACAAAACTATAGAGTCACAGAGAGCGAAATACAGTACAGTTATAGCAAAAGTATCTATGTAACATCACAAAATATCTACATAACTTAAGAAAAAGTATTACTGGAGTAAATCTTACATCTAAATTTCAACTCTCAACAAAACGATAGCCTGATTACTAGGCTAAATTTAAAGTATTCTTACAATAGCTTCACAATCCTCACAAATAAATTCGGATGGTAAAAAGCCAGGCAAAGTCCCGTGCAAATATATTCATCCACAGCAAATGAGGGAAAAAGAAAAGGCTGCCTTCAAGGACTCACAAAAAGCCGGTCCCCATCTCATCTAAAAAGATCTGGACAATCAAAAGTGAAAAGAAAAATGATTGCCTCAATATGCCAGCCAACAACAAATAATGATTTCAAATCATTTCTTGACAGTCAGCTGGTTAAAGAGTTGATTAAGACCTAGAAAGTCTTTGAAAGAAAGTCTTTTGAAATTGTTCTTGAACTTCAATGCTTTCAATCAAAGGCTTTTAGGCTTTCAAGTTATTTTGGAATGATTTTAGAGTTGTTTTAAACTTGCTTTTAAAGTTATCTAA